GGCCGCCACGGCAGCGCTAGAGAGAGAGAGAGAGAGAGAGAGAGAGAGAGAGAGAGAGAGAGAGAGAGAGAGAGAGAGAGAGAGAGAGAGAGAGAGAGAGAGAGAGAGAGAGAAAGGGGGGAAGAGTGCGTGGCGGAAGCGTGGGAAAAAGGTTCAACATGTTGAACCTGCTCTGTTACCATATCATAATAACTAGGTAGCTAGGGAGCCATGGAATGACGAGAGGTTTAGGAAGGAGAGAAAATGTCGAGAAAAGAGAGAGTATTGGAATAGAAGAGAAGGAGATACAAGAAGGGGGTTTGTCCTATTTACAGTAAGTTTCTGTAAGTAGCACAACTACCAAGCCTACAATTATATATAAACATATATAATTTAAGAACATGCTCCAGCTCGCCTCGAACTTGCGTGATTCTGGTCTAAGTACTAGTCATGCCCCTCACTCATGCTCCAACTCACCTCGAACAACTCGTGTGATTTAGGTCAAAGTACCAGTCATGCCTCTCACTCATGCTCCACCTCACCCGAAACAAGTCATGTGATTCTGATCAAGTACCAGCCACGCCCTTCATACGTGCTCTAGCTCGCCTTGGCAGATAGGATTCTGTTTAATGGCAAATTTCGGTTAAAACCACAAGCTAAAATAGCATGGGGGGGGCTTAAAGAGCGCCGTTCTTGAAAATAGTTCTTCTGAAAAAAAGCGGGTTCCCAGTACGATTTTGCGAGGTGCGTTTTTGGGCAGCTAAACAATGAGAGAAACGCAGTGGCGCCAATTTGACGCGTGTGCGACGAGGCGGGAAACGCGTGCGCAATTCAATTGACTTTTCGCCAATTTGGTGACACGAAAAAAACCTACTGTACCTCGGGGATATTCGATGCACGTGTCCAGGCTTCACATTACGAAGCCCCCTCGACCGCGACTCGCGACTAATGTGAAGGTGAACTGTGCAACTTGTGTGCCGAACAGCCACATGGGTTTCGCGAAATGCGACCGAGGTAAACCTCGGGTTCAAAACCTATTGTACACCCATGGATCTCTAAAAGAAAAACCGAGTTGTGTCAGTGATCAGTCGCAATTTGATGATGCGAGCATCTGATGCCAAATCAAAGTCGCGCACCAATAACATAACAATGCTACGTCGCATTACATACAATTTCGCCCCCCCATACGATTTCGTCATAAAAACGTACCAGAAGATCTGCCACTAAACAAAAACATATTTTCAAGAGCTCCGCAGGTGTGCTATTCTAGCATCTGGTTTTAAGGCCGATTCTTCAGGCTCGCTAGAACAAGAGCATACAAATTTTCAGGCCTTAAAGCGAAAGATCAAAATAGTGAAGGCAAGTCCAACTTGAAAAGGCCCAAACGTCCGTTTTTGCGATTAAGGGACAAAACAGCGACACGGTAGAGGGTACACTGTCGAGGCAATTTCGCAAGCAGCACTCCATCTGTCGCCCAGCTCCCAGTGCTTGTAAGCTGTACCAAGTAGGCCCAACTTGAAGTACAAGTTGGACCCGGGTTCACTACTCTGGCAAAACCTCGGCTGGGCCCCGATTGGTCGAAATGCTAACCGCGCAAATCTGTGGTCGTAAAATTAGTCGTTAGTGCGAAATATCGCAAGCGCAATTCGATTTCATGGCCTACGGCTTGGTAACAAATGGGGACTACTACCCGCCCCTCCAAAAATATATTCACTGTTGGGTCGTTTCTAGTTGGGCCCAACTAGAAAGGGGGGTCACTATTATCGTCTCTCGCTTTAAAAAATAGGAACACATTAAATTCATGTTTGATGAAAATCAAAACGTGGAAAATCAGGGTATGCCCTAAAAAACACCCTAAAAATCAGGGATGAGCGTCCCCGCTTTATGGCTGTCTCAAACGCCAAGGAATACTTAGATGACGTCATCGCGCGCTATTCCACCCCTGCCTTAGCCTCTGCCGGCCGCCTAATCATTTCCATGCTGTTCCCTGACCTTGCGTCCTTCCCTTCTGTCGCTGACCTTGCCACTCACCTCCACGCACTGGAGCCTAACTACCATGCCGCTAGCCCTGAGGTACTGCTCACTGCCTTCCTGCCGCCGCTTTGCGCTACCCTTTACCTCATTGCCACGCGCCTTCCTGACCGCCTAGCCACTGCCCGCGACCACTTCCTTAGTCATCAACCAGGTGATCTCACCCTCACTACCTTTGTCACCGCCCTGCCCACGATAGAGACCTGCGAATGCACTATCACTCAATCTAGCGGTACTGCGGCGGTCCCTATCTTCTAGGGCTGTGCTCTCTCCTAGTGCACTTACTCTAACGTTTCTGCCGCTGTCGCTTAGACGGCCCCTGCTGCTGAGACTACCATTGCGGCCTCAACGCGGCAGCGTCCGAGTAAGGGCCGCCGCCCGAAGGGGGGGCGTGGTGGAGGGAAGGGTGGTGGTGGTGCTGGAGGTGGGGACGGGGACGGTGGTGCAGACGAGGGGACCGGGGCTGGTGCCCAGCAGCAACAGTAACAGCAGTAGCCTGAGCAGCAGCAGCAGCAACTACCTCAACAGCAGCCTCAGCAGCAGCAGTAGCAGCAGTCGCCGTGGGGGCCCCCGCGGCCGTGGTGGCCTAGTGGCGCTGGTGGTCGTGGTTGTGGTGGTGCGCCGCGCGGCTCGGTGTCGGGTGGCAGCTCTAGTATGGTCTCCTGTCAGTACCAGCTTCAGGCCGGCTCCCGTCGCGGCACAGTCTGCGACCGTCCCGGTCACACCGCCGCCCGCTGCTACCGCCGCCTCGACGACCTCTTCCGACTCCGCTTTGGTCCCGCATCGGACCCTCCAGACTGGTACGCCTTGGCGTGCCACCGTGTGCCTATCTTTGACCTTGACATAGATCAGAGTCCGATTCCAGAGTCCGGAGTCCGGAGTCCGAGTCCCAAATCCGAGTCCCGAATCCAAAGTCCAGAGTCCAGAGTCCAAGTCCATAGTGCCGATTCCGAGTCCAAGTCCAGAGTCCTGAGTCCAAGTCCAGAGTCCCAAGTCACTAGTCCATAGTCCGAGTCCCGAGTCCACATTCTTGAGTCCGAGTTCAGAGTTGAGGGCCGAAGTACTGAGTCCCGAGTCCAGAGTCCCGAATCCAGAATCGAGAGCCCCTGAAAGGGGAAGTACCAAGATTATCTCACAAGATCACTTTTACGACAATCACGCCAAATCGGTTTTGCGCCGGACACTCGATCGATTTGCGCGCCAAAGTACCAGATCGCCCACCCCAAGCAGTAACGAAATCTTCAGCGCTTCGTGAATTCGCGGAACGAAACCAAAACATGTGAATATGAATGTTTTGCGAAATAGTTGGCTGCTTGCTGTGTTCTGGCGAATTTTGTTGGCGAGCATTTGCAGGGCTGCAAAATGATACCGAGGATCAGAAACTGCAAATCTGGTACATGTCTTTAACGGGTACGAAATCGAATCCGTAGAGCAGTTTTGAATGTTGAAATCGGGGAAAACATGCGATATTGCAAAACGGACGCAATGTATTTCGTCCTTAGGGTAGTTGATTTCCGTTTCATTTGGATTCGGGTACGAAGTTACTATTACCGAGTTACAACAAAATTTGACTCGGACAGGCCAGGATGTTCAAGGTCCATACAGGGTAATATTCACGACGTGCCAAGAAAATCCAGTTACTTTGTGCGTACTATGTTAAGAGTGCTAATTTCTTCTGCTAGTTGTATGACAAACTCGCTAAAGTAGGGTAGAATCTGTGGCAGCAACCTTCTCAAATTCCCGGGGTGCGGGAAGGGGGAGGGGGGGGGGGGGGGGGAGGGGGGGGCGATAAACTTTTCTAGCTGCGTGGGCTTGGGGGACTGTAGAAGGAATTTCCCAAGCTGTGAGTGACGCCGAATATTCTAGGTTTCGTGGGTGTGGGAGATGAGTACTGTATCTCTGTTTGGGAGGGACTCAGCCAAATTCCTCTACGGTCAAGAAGGGAATGTTTCTGGCTGTGACAGACTTGTGCGGGTGTAGGAGGAGTTATAAATAACTGTCAATGAAGGACTAGCCAAATTTCCTAGGTTCGGGGTGTCCGTGGGAATTGTTTCTGGATGTTGGGGACTTCATTTGCCGGAAAAATGTCGCTGTCACCCCGGGTGCGAGGACGGGAGGGGGGTGGAGGGGGGGGGGTACTTCTTGGCAGGTGCATCCAAATTGCCCTCCCAGCGAATTCTGATCTGCCCGGAGCCCCCCGGAACACCACTTATATAAATTCCAGAAACCCCGACAGCTCCACCCGTTCAAATTCTGGAACAAGCCTAGCGCCAACTTTTAATGTTTTTTCATTCTGGCTAATTAGTCTTGAAAAACAAGTCATTATGGTGATCCAACGGACGGAATGCCTTCGTGCAGAATCGAAATGGTTTGTACCAGAGTTTTTGGTGTACAGCGCACTTCGTTACCATAAATTTTATTGCCACATTTTCGCTTCACATGATACGATGTGGTATAATAATGCAGCAAGGCTTTGCCCAATAGCGATTTCGATTGCCAATGCTATTAAACTGCTCACTATGTATAGAAACGAGGCATACAAAAGCTTCCGAGGAAGATCCACATTCGGTCGAGATACCCTGTGATCTGGCATCGACGGCTAATTGCACGCATGACCGCCTGTCGCGGCTGGCCACATCATAGCCACACCACTTGGTTTTTTCGTCCAATCACTGCGCGAGGAGCACCTGGTCTGAAGCATCTGGGGGGGAAGCGTCGCGCAAACTCCGCCACCAGCCACGCGGACCTATCGACTTCTGTGCTGCCGTGTGGCGGAAGGCCAGCGGGGACCAGCACCACCTGTGTGCACCCTACCCCACGAGTGAAAAACTTGGCGGCAGTGGCCCAGGCGACTGTGTGGGCGACAGTTAGCCTGGGGTAACTAGAGCATTTCGCGGCTCCAGGCGACCTGACGATGTGTCGGCAGTTTTCGCACAGCCCTGTCCAATAATAATTCCTCAGGAATTGCGTCAAGCAGCCATTCTCGAGATTTGCACTGTTCCAAAACTCAGACAGCCGTTTCTCCTGCTTTGTGCTTCTGCTTTCTGCTTTCTGGTTTCCTTGTGGTCTCCTGGTGGTGTCTTTTGCTCCTGGACTTCCTCCGTTGCTTCAGACTGACAGGCTACTAGTAAGTCTGAGCTTTGAAAGCGCCATTCACGTGTTTGAAGCATCGTTAGCAAAGAAACCCGCTCACCGTTCACGTGTCTCCGCTTCTCATAAAAGAATCCCAGAAGAGGAGCCTAATTTATCCGCTTCTCGCGGTTCTCATCCACACGGCTCGATCGTTCCTCCCCTTCCACGATGGCCGCCAGCGACGTGGCGACCCCTTCACCAGTCCATTCCGCGGGAGATTTGCAGCAGAACGCCACGTCAGCAACCACGGCCACAGCGTCAGCAACCGCAGAGCCTGCAGGCACAGGTTCTGCAGTCCCGCATTTGCTGGCTCTGGTCCAGGACATGCGCGCAACGCGCGATAGCCTCGGCGACCGGCCGTCGGTGAAGGACGTGGAAGCCGCCGCTAAGGAAATCATAGCCATCGACAAGCATCTTGTATCGCAAATGGAAGCGCTTGTATCGGAGACGCGGCCAGATGGCGCTGACGCGTATCTGTTCCAGCAGCTGGTGGCCTTAAAGCGGGACGTGATGCAGACTGCAGCGATTATGAAGAAGCGTAAGCCGCAGGCGATTCTGGATCTGGAGGCCAAGTACCGGCACTACGACAAGATGGTCATGCTGGCCGAGGAAGCCGTGCTCACAGGCCGACTCCCGACCCTCGTAGCCTCGGCAGGAACCGAACCTGTTGCTGCCGAACCGTGCGCCGAACCTGCGGAGGCCGGAATTCTTCCGGACGCGGTGATCAGTGAGGAGACAGACGGGGAGAAAGCTGTTGAAGCGGTGACTGATGGTGCAAATGTTGGCGATGCAAATGATGGCGATGCTGCAGCAACAGCAGCAGCAGCAGCAGCAGCAGCAACACCAGCAGTAGCGGCCGCAGTCGCAGCCACGACCGCAGCCGTCGTCGGAGCAGCAGCCGCGGGAGCAGCGATCGCCGCTTCTCCCCCTGCGGAAACCGCGGCAGCTAAGCCCGTTACTGTCACATCCGCCACTAGCCCCGACTCCACCCTCGCCGCTACAGCCGCGGAGAGCCCCGCCGCTACAGCCATCGGAAGCCCCGCAACACAGATGGCGGTGAGCCGTCCCGCGCCGACGAGCTTCTCCCCTCCCCCGGCGCCATCCGCGCGAGCCGCGTCGTTTGGAAGGGACGTGGGCGGTGCTGCGGAGATAAGGAGGGACGCTGGCGCGGGGGGGAAGGGGGGCAAGGACGGCAAGGGTTCGCATTCTAACGCCGTGTCGAAATTCGCGACGATGCCTCAACAAGGTGAGCCGGGTGGTTAGGCATGAATGCGGGTAGGGAGTGCGAAGCACGTGCGGATTTTTGTGACTTCAGGCGAATGCGTGAGATGCCAACGCTAAGAGCACGAATCGTCAGGAAACGCGTGTAAGGTCAGGACACACACGCGCGGATGCAATTTTAACAAACATGCGTGAATTGCGTGGAAATGTCAACGAGACATGAAACGTCAGGGACACACGCGGAATGTGCAGTTTCAAACAAACATGCGGGACATGTGGGTTGCGAACATGTGTGGAAATGTGGGTTGGGAACATGTGTGGAAATGTCAAGGAGAGATGTGTCCAAGTGCCAAGGCCAATGGTTTTTATAATTGTTTTCTGAGTGGCCTGTCCATCCCTTCTGTGTCTAACCCAACACATTCCCAACCCTCACGTGCCAAGGCCAACGTGTGTCATTATTGATTCTATGTGCGTTGTGAGACCTGTCCGTAATGTATGGCATCCATTAATCTGATTAATGTGTGACATACACTGACATACACTGACCCACTCCCTTGAGCCCACTCCCTTGTGTCTAATCCGCACGTCCCCTTCCTCCCTGCAGCTTCTTTCACAGATCCCAATGTATCCTTCTGGCTCACACATTCCCAATCCCAACCCTCTTGCCCCCTTCCTCCCCCCCGCAGCCTCTCAGCTGAAGCCCATCGAGGAGGCATCATCCGACCTGGAGATCGACCCCAAGCTGCTGTCCGTGCTGGAGGAAGCCGCCCAGGACAGGCGCCAGGAGCTCGACCTGCAGGGCCACCACTTTAAAGCGCCCCTCGCCTACGTCCCCGAGTCCATCGGGCTGCTCGACTGGATTGTGGAGCTGCGCCTGGCCAACAACGGGCTGGTGGTCCTGCCCCAGGCCATCGGGAACCTCTTCTGCCTCTCCGTGCTCGACGCCTCCTGCAACAAGCTCGTCGAGCTGCCCGAGTCCATCGGGCACCTGGCGAAACTCCGTGTGCTGGACCTGCACCACAACTACCTGGAAGAACTCCCCACGTCCATCGGCCACTGCGAGGCACTAGAAGAACTTCGCCTCGGATTCAACTCCCTCACTGGGCTGCCAGAAGCCATCTGCAAACTGGGGGAGCTGAAGCTGCTGTCGGCTCCACTCAATCAGCTGACGTACGTCCCGAGGCGGATTGGGAATCTAGAGAAGCTGACGGACCTGGACGTGCATTACAATTCGCTGCAGTCCATCCCGGAGAGCATCGGGCGGCTGGAGCGGCTGACGGTGCTGAATATCAGCGCGAACCACTACCATCTGAAGGAGCTCCCGGAGACGATTGGGAACCTGAGGAGTTTGGTAAAGCTGGACATTAGTGAGAACTACATTAAGATCCTGCCCATCTCGTTCGTGAACTTGACGAGTCTGAAGAAGCTGTCGCTGCAGGGCAACCCGTGGCAGCACCCGCCCATGGATGTCGCCAACTCAGGGCTGCAGGTGAGCACTAAGCCTGAAGGGGTGAGCCTTAGGGGAACCCGTGGCAGCCCTCGCCAACTCAGGCCTGCAGGTGAGCACTAGAGGCTGGGATTTAGGTCTGCAGGGGAATGAGTGGCAGCTCCACCCATGGATGCGGGCAGCTCAGGCTTGCAGGCGAGCATAATGGACTAAGAAAACTGTGGCATTATTATTTGAAGGGATGGAGGCATGGGCAAGGCGTCATCTTGGGAGAGAATTCTCCCTGAATTTCATTGTTCTTGCCTGCAATGTGTTATCCTGTTCGAATTGCTTCATTTCTCCCTCTCCATCGATGCCTCTCTCCTTTTGGGCTGCAGGGTGTGATGGATTATCTGAACCTGCAGGATATAACGGAAGGGGAGGGACATGGGGGTTCCAAGAAGCTTGGAGGGCTGCTCGGATTCTTCAGGCAGAAGCAGAAGGAAGATCCGAAACTCGCTGCTTGGAAGAAGAACACTCGCACGTTATAGTGTGCAGTCACTTGCCCGACATACCGATGATACTTGCCTAGTACTCCAGTTCATCTTGTTTTAGCTTGATGCGTTGTTTGTTAGCATTTAGAGCCTAAGGAAGGCTTAGTTCTAACATTGGCACATACCGTAACTGCATGATCGCGTAGGCGTGGATCTTGGTAGGACCCTCTTTCTATCATTCAACAGTTTTTAAGTGCTGAACAGTTGACTAGTTTTTTCGTAGTTTTCGTAAAGAAAGATCTACAGCACTCATCCATTCGCCTTGGATTGTCCGACAATCCCTAAACAGGACACGCGCGGGAAACAAATGTTGATCCCCAGGCAGGCCAATCAAAAACCAGTTAGCCCCAATACGAGGAGAACAAGGCAAAGCTGCTCGCTGCTAAACCATAACAGCGAGATGGTAGGGACGGATTGACGAAGCAAAATCCATGGCTCCACACGCACTGGCGATCAGGTTCCTCAGCCAGATAGCTACTCCCAGGTTCTCCTGCGTTAGGCCCGTCGGTTTAGATTCCTATGGTCGAATCTGGCCTTGATTAGGTTCTGACTTCAGGTTAGGATCTCTGAAGACTGACGACTGACATCTCAGAAGGATGGAACTAGATCTACATCACTGACCACTGATTTCAGGTTAGGATCTCTGAAGACTGACGACTGACATCTCAGAAGGATGGACGGGTTGCCGAAGAACGTGACTCCCGGACGCGGCGGAAGCTTCGCGGATTCGCAAGTCGACTTCGATCCAGTTTCCGGATTCCGCCAAACGCCCTCAGATCCCCGTCCCGGTGCCTCCTCGAGCATTCGCACTCCTAGGTCAGGCGTTTTAGGGTCGTTAGGATCGCCAGGCTTGTTGGGGTCTTCTAACCCCCAGACTGGAAGCGCTAGGCCGGGAATAGGGAGTTATGCTTTGGGATCCGGTACCGGCAGCACTGTGAAGCAAGAACCCGTCGATTGGCTGAGTGCGACTGACGCTGCTGTCGCAGGCGTCGCCGAAGATCGCCAGGATCGTCGGGATTCGCTGGAGCATGATGCGACGACAGATAGTAAATATTGTTCGGGAAATAACGAGCTTGAAGCGTCGCACGGCGACGAGGCGGTGCTGGAATCTGACCTCGTTCGCGACGTTCTCGCGCTGTGCGAAGGAATCGACGGTCGTTACGTCAAGTTCGACGATGAATCGCGATCCGTGCGATTCGTGCCAGGCGCGCGAATATCGCAGATATGCATGTGAGTTCGCGGATTCGTTTCAGCCCACGGATTGGAACAAAAGGCAATAGAAGGCTTCTTTTACAATAACAAGCAAGAGATTATGGGATTATGGTGCACATTGTGTTAACATTCGCTCTCACCTCACGAATATTTCCTGACTTGTTTTCTAATACTGTCAGGGCTGAGGTTCGGCAACTAAGCAGGCTCGGAGTGATGGTTCGGCAGATCCAAGCCTATATTCAGGCAGTAGCCTCGGCCAACTCCATCTTAGGGAGCAGCAGTGGCAGGGGGGGCCTGCCGCGAGGAGCGGGACGAGCGGAAAGATCTATGCTGAAGGAGGAAGGAGCGGGGGGTGGGGAAAGGGCGTTGGCGAAGAGAGAAGGAGTGAAACAAGGGGAACGGGCCGCAGTGAAGGAGGAAGGGGGGTGGCGAGGGGAAAGAAGCGAGGTGAAGGAGGAAGGAGCAGCGGAGGGGCTGAAGAGCAAGAACCAAATGGTCCGTTGACGGGGAGGGATGGGGGGATTGTGCGTTGGTGTAAGTGAATGAAGAGTGAAGGATAGAGGGGGTGGGGGAAAAGTAATTGGGGGGGAAGGGATGTTATGGAGTGCGGAGGGGATTTATTCTGTCGTTCGCTCTATCTCGGATGCGGTTTTAGACTCCTCCCACTCACCCTCTTCCCTCACTTCTCTCCCCCTTTCTACCCTTCTCTCCCGCTCCCTATGCTCCCCCTCCTTTTCCCCCGCCCCCCCTCTCCCACCACCACCCTTTTTCCCACAGGCATTCTGCAGCGCCCTTAACACGGCGCTAAGCCAATACCGCGAAGTGCTGGCCTGCCTAGACGCGTACCGCCACGCCCCCGTGCCCTCCGACCTTCCCTCGCTCCCCTCCCTTCCGCGAGGTGCTGGTGCTGGTGGTGCCCCAGCAGCGCCAGCAGCAGCAGCAGCAGCAGCAGCAGCAGCAGCAGCCCCAGCAGCCCCAGCAGCAGCGGCACCAGCAGCAGCTCAGCCCTCCAGGAGGGATGGGTCAGGAGGAGCGGCGTCGAGACTAAGGGAGACGGGGCACTCTGTGGGGAATGCGGGGGGGTACGCGGGGGATGTGGGGCACGTGGGGCATGTGGGGCATGTGGGGCACGTGGGGCACGTGGGGCACGTGGGGCATGTGGGGCATGTGGGGCCCGTGGGGCATGGGGAGGCGGGCAGGAGGAGGCAGGAGCAGGGCGGGGAGTATCTGAGTCTATCGCTCCTGCTGGCGTTCCTCTCTCCGTGGTTCGCTCGCTTGGGTTGCCTCGTCGGCTTCATTCAAGAATGCAGGTCCGTGCAGGGTTCTGATACATTGGATACGTTCTGATACGTTCTGTTGTGCTGCTGTGCTGTTGCGCTATTGCTCTGTTGTGCTGTTGTGCTGTGGCTGTTATTGCACTGGGAAAGGCCCTCGTTGCTTCCTCTCCCCCAACCTTATGTCACCCCCCATCTCCCCTAGGTCGCTGCGAGGAGGGCGTTTCTTGGACGCCCTGGAGGCGGAGAAGAGGGCGGCGAAGGGCAGCTCGGAGCAGCTCGCCACAGATCAGCTCACTGCATCAGTCGAGGCAGCGAGGCTGCTGGTGCGGGGCGTGGTGGAGTGGCCCGTGCTGGGGAGGGCGGATGCTGCAATTTGAGAACCTTTTCCTCCTGCCCCTTCTTCCCTCCGCTTCCCCCCCATTTCTTCACCTCTTGATTTTGCAGGTCGATGCGTGGAGGGCGGTTTCTTGATGCACTAGAGGCGGAGAAGAGGGCAGCGCAGGGCAGGGAGCGGGATCAGCTGGGCGCAGCTCTGGACGAGGCAGTGAGGCCGCTGGTGCGGGGCGTGGTGGAGTGGGCTGTGCTGGGGAGGGCGGATGCTGGCAACGAGGAGTTTTTTGTGCGGTGCAATGCGGTGGCGAGCAAGGACGTGCTCTGGCAGGAAGGCTTCTGGTGAGAAAGGGGATGGGGGATGATGGGTGAGGGGAACAGCGCAATAGAGGTGGGTGTGGTTGAACGAGGCTGGGCAGGAAATGCTGTCAGTTGACGACATCACAGGATGCCTCCTCTCTTCCTTCCCTTCATTGCACCACAGGGTAGACAAGACTACCCCTCCATTGGATTTAACGCTAGGCACTGTCTGTGTCGGCAAGTCTATCCACTTGCTCTCTACCTTCCCCCCAACCCGCTCCCTCCTCCACATGCTTGTTTTGCAGGATGGACGAGGCAATGGTTCCTGAGAGACTTATCCCTCTGGACCTAGCGCATGCCATCATTCGTGTTGGCAAGTCCATCCGCTTCCTCGCCCACTGCTGCGGGGACAGACTCGGGCCCGAAGCTGCCAAGCAGGTGGAGCGGCAGGTTCGGGGCCACCGAGCCTCGCTGGAGCTTTGGGACGTGCCGAGGCTGGTGGAGAGGGTTTCAGCGCAGGTGGAGACGCACCTGGTGCAGGTGGTGCTCGGGCAGTTCGCTCTGCTGCACCACTGTGGACTCATCAAGCGATTCGTTCTGCTCACGAACGGGCACTTTGCACAGGTTAGTCATTGGCTTTAAATGGTACCAGCACACACCTGGTGCTGATGGTGCTGGGTATTTCGCCCTGCTGCAGCACTGTGCGCGCATCTGGTGCGATTTCCATCAACTGATTCGTACTCCTCCCAACGGGCGCCCATTTCTATGCCATTCTCCCTTCGCTCGCCTTCTTCTATCCATCTCCATCCGCCTCCACTCAGCTATCCCTCGGTCGCTGTCAGGTGCTCCTTGACATGGCGTCCAGCGAGCTCAAGTAGCCAATCATCAAAGTCTGATCCCGTCTGCTGCTATCCCTCGTCTTTCGCCTTCTGCTATCCCTCGTCTTTCGCCTTCTGCTATCCCTCGTCTTTCGCCTTCTGCTATCCCTCGTCTTTCGCCTTCTGCTATCCCTCGTCTTTCGCCTTCTGCTATCCCTCGTCTTTCGCCTTCTGCTATCCCTCGTCTTTCGCCTTCTGCTATCCCTCGTCTTTCGCTTCTTTTCGCCTTCTGCTATCCCTCGTCTTTCGCCTTCTGCTATCCCTCGTCTTTCGCCTTCTGCTATCCCTCGTCTTTCGCCTTCTGCTATCCCTCGTCTTTCGCCTTCTGCTATCCCTCGTCTTTCGCCTTCTGCTATCCCTCGTCTTTCGCCTTCTGCTATCCCTCGTCTTTCGCCTTCTGCTATCCCTCGTCTTTCGCCTTCTGCTATCCCTCGTCTTTCGCCTTCTGCTATCCCTCGTCTTTCGCCTTCTGCTATCCCTCGTCTTTCGCCTTCTGCTATCCCTCGTCTTTCGCCTTCTGCTATCCCTCGTCTTTCGCCTTCTGCTATCCCTCGTCTTTCGCCTTCTGCTATCCCTCGTCTTTCGCCTTCTGCTATCCCTCGTCTTTCGCCTTCTGTCTTTCGCCTTCTGCTATCCCTCGTCTTTCGCCTTCTGCTATCCCTCGTCTTTCGCCTTCTGCTATCCCTCGTCTTTCGCCTTCTGCTATCCCTCGTCTTTCGCCTTCTGCTATCCCTCGTCTTTCGCCTTCTGCTATCCCTCGTCTTTCGCCTTCTGCTATCCCTCGTCTTTCGCCTTCTGCTATCCCTCGTCTTTCGCCTTCTGCTATCCCTCGTCTTTCGCCTTCTGCTATCCCTCGTCTTTCGCCTTCTGCTATCCCTCGTCTTTCGCCTTCTGCTATCCCTCGTCTTTCGCCTTCTGCTATCCCTCGTCTTTCGCCTTCTGCTATCCCTCGTCTTTCGCCTTCTGCTATCCCTCGTCTTTCGCCTTCTGCTATCCCTCGTCTTTCGCCTTCTGCTATCCCTCGTCTTTCGCCTTCTGCTATCCCTCGTCTTTCGCCTTCTGCTATCCCTCGTCTTTCGCCTTCTGCTATCCCCCTCTCATTCCCAGGTGCTTCTAGATGGGGCGTCCAGCGAGCTCAAGAAGCCGATCAACAAAGTCAGCAACATCACTCTCTCAGGTGCTGCCGACTCCCTGACTTACGAATCACCTATGACCCTCAAAAGGAGGGTGATGACTTACTAAGTCTCCCTGACCTCAAACCCTTTTACAGTCCTAATTCCTCTCTCGTTGGTTCTCCTCACCCCTTGCTCCCTCATCCCCTTACCATCTACCCAGGTTTCATGGGGCAGGGGCAGTGCTGGCGTCGCTCTTCTCGGGGAAGGAACCAGCTCTCTCTCGTCTTCTGAGGAGAAGGGAGTTCTGCTGTCTTACTCCATCCATCCCTCCACTCCCCCTTCCCCCACATACCCCCAGGTGCTCTCCAGGGGGCAGTGCTGGCGTCGCTCTTCTCTGGGGAGGAATCAACGCTGGCAGATGCGCTGCAAGTCAAGCTGGTCAACGACAGGTGGGCAAGTCAAGCTGGTCAACGACAGGTGAGTGTGTAGGTCAAACCTATTGACGCCCAGTGCCTGGTGTAGCGTGCCCTCACAGCAGCTCACTGTGTGTGCGTGAGAGGGACCAGCAGTTTCATCATACCACCACCATTCACATTCTGCTTCTCCCAATACCCTCCCACTGCTCCTCCCGTTCATCCTCCCGTTCACCCTGGACTACCGCGTTCTACCACCTCTCACCGCAGTCATCACCCCTGCCTCGCAGCGCCACTACGTGCTGCTCTTCTCCGCGCTCTTCCTCCTGCAGCGCACCCGCCGCGCCCTCTCCTCCACCTGGCTCGCCCTCAAGCCCAGATTCCCCCAGTTCTTGCTGCCACCTTCTGCTTACCAACCTACCTCTCTGTCCTCTCTGTCCGCTCTGTCTCCTCTTCCCCATCTCCATTCCCCTCTACCTTTTCGTCAGCACCCCTGGGATATCCGGCTGGGATGTGTTCACCTTGGAGTACCGCGTTCTACCGCCTCTCACCGCCGTGATAACCCCTGCCGCCCAGCGGCACTATGCGCTGCTCTTCGCCGCGCTCTTCCTCCTGCAGCGCACGCGCCGCGCCCTCTCCTCCACCTGGCTCGCCCTCAAGCCCACTGCCTCGCGCTTCCTGCCGCCCGTTGTCCGGGAATCGACTGTTGCTACAGTTTCGGGCAGGCTGGGCGGAGGTTTGGGTGCCCGGGCAGCTGGAACGGGCAGCAGAGTGAGAAGAACAGACCCGGGAGGCCTGGGAGTCGATGCTTCTGCTTCTGCTGCTGCTGGTGCTGGTGGTGGTTCGTGGGAGGAGGAGGGGGGAGCAGGGAGCAGAGCGACGGGGGGGTTGCAGGCGTGGAAGGAGAGGGAGGAGGAGAAGCTGGTGGGAGGGCCGGTGAGGGGCGCGAGAGGGGTGTTTCTGCGCATGTCGCAGTTTATGCGCGTGATCGAGTCGTTTGCTGCGCTGAGGATCGAAATCAGCTGGGCGCACATGGTGGAACGGGCTAAGGTGAGTGAGAGATGGTGGATATGAGGTGGGTGAGGTGAGGTGGGGTGAGGTGAGGTGAGGTGAGGTGAGGTGAGGTGAGCGCCTGAGGGTTCTAGAGTCGTCTGCTGTGCTCAGGATTGGAACCAGCTGGACGCGCATGGTGGAAAGAGCCAAGATGAGGGATGGGCGAAAGAATGTATCTGAAGCAGCAAGATGGCTTCACTTCCCTCTCCTGGTGCTGCTGCCAGGTTCACAACCACTGCCCTACCTTGTCCATTCTCTCACTCACTCTCTCCTTTCCCCTCCTGGTGCTGATGTTGGTTTCGTTCCCTCCCCTCCACTCCTCCACTTGCCTCTCCTTGCCTTTCCCTGCTTGCTTCTCACTCGCACTGTCACACCCACTCCAGGATGCAACAAATCTGGACGAGCTGATCGCGTGCCACGAGCGCTACCAGCAGGCCCTCCTGAGGGCCCTCTTCCTGGACCGCCCCTCAGCCGCCATCCTGGCCAGCGTGCGCCGCATCTGCAAGCTCGTGCTGGAGCTCTCTCACCTCGCTGCTCGCCTGCAGAAGCACACCGACTCGCTCTTTGCCAGGTGAGCCCTCCTAATGGCCATCTTGATTGGGCTCAAGCGCCCCTCGGCATTGTGAGCAGCACCTGCTAGCTCTCCCACCTCGCTGCTTGCCGGCAGAAGCACACAGGGAGCGACAGGGAGCCCCTGTGTGAGGTGAGCCACTCGAGGGTTAACTGGGGACTATTTTGGGGTAATAATCTCTCTGACGTCGGTCTACAGGCTGAGCAGTGCACATCCCTGTACTAAATGCCCTTGTGGAACCGGCTACGGCCGGAAACACTCTCCCCCTTAATCTCTTTGCAGGAAGCTTGCTGCCGCACGAACAGCAAAAGCTACCAGCAGCAGCCGGAGCACAAGTGCTCTTCACACCATTGACAGCCTCGGAAACACCCAAGCCTCGTCTTCAGGTTCGGCAGACCTCCATGAGCTTCGGTCTCAGGTTGCTTCAGTAATACAGCGCTTCTCAGCAGAGGTTCGAGTTGCTGTGGCTGCCATGGAGGTTCGGACGGATTCAGATGATATTGTCGATTTGGCCCAGAGCTGCCGATATGCCGCTAACATACGACAATAAATGCAGTGTGGCTAGATGAGTTGCGGGATAGGTAGTTCAGCTTAACACATGCGGTCTGCTTTTGCGTGTGCTGACTCGAATTCTGACGCAGCCATTAGAGCATGTCTCGAAAAATCATACCATGTAAGGTTGTTAAAACCCCCTTAAAAAATAACTAATGCTACGTGCTTACCAAGAGTTAGGGTAATGCAGAGCGATGGTATCGAAGATGCAATTACGCTGTACATACAAGACCTCCTGCGAACTCTGCTCCGAGGCATTCTGGCCGGATCACCGTGACAATGTGCATGCTGTCGCCAATGTCTGACCAAGCAGAGGGGTTTGTTCTGCAACCCCCCCATAATTCCGCAGCTCTCAAGCTATCCGTTGGAGCAGCAGCCCGATCTTTGGGAAAGCGCTCCGCCAACCCTCCAAGGTCTGCGCACTCACAGGAATATGTCAGGCCTATTGTGGGAGCGCGTCCGCCAGCCCGCGGATTCCCCGCCAGAACTGTTGCGGTCATTGGAAGTGGCGACACTCACGACTGTCGCAATTGTCTGTTGTGTCTCCAGCTGAGATGTCGTCAACACTTTTTGCTACTCGAGATTCCTTCGTGAAATTCGCAACGAAAATCGTCGCTCCGCCCGTTAGTGAGAGACGCGCGCTTGGCAATGCGCGATGCGCCCATCTTGTCGGCGGAGCTTCCCCCACCGCCGCTAAGCCAACCTCGGGATTGGCTGGGATTCCTCTGGGCCGTGCTGAACCCTCCTCTTTGTAGTTCAGCGACAACTGAGACAACCCAAACCCACAAGTTAGCCCAGCCGTTTCTCACCCTTTTCAACCGAGATCAACCATATTGAACCTTCTCAATCCAACCAGCAAAACCACATCCCAGCCCACGCCAATTTCATCGCCTCTGCTCCACTTCTTAGCGGCTTTCCACTTTTTCCGAGTTGATGGCGCCCTCATCCTGGCAAACTCAGCAGCACATTTGCACTCATCCACTCATCATTTGCACACATTTGCACTCATCCTCTCATCCTCGCCAATTTCATTGCCTCTGCTCCACTTTTCACCGCCATTCCACTTTTCCTACTTGATGCTGCCCCATGCTCTCTCATCCTCGCAAACGCGCTTCTCCTCTTCTCTCTCACCACCCTCATCTTTCTCTCATTTTCACCTCCACGACCTCCGTTTTGCCGCAGATGGCCGGTCGGAAGCCTTAGCGTTCATTAATAGCAGCAGCGATTTCCATCGCTAGCCCCGATGTGTTGGTAGCGATCTCCGTCGTTAGCAGCAATTTCCGCCGTGAGCAAATATTTCGCCATCAGCAGCAACGATTTGGTTGCCAACAGTAATTTTCGATGTCAGCAGCGAATATGGCCGTGAGCAGCAGCGATCTCCGCCGTCGTCGGCTATTTCCGCCGCGAAGTGCAGTTTTCGTCAGCAGCAACGATTTCCGCCGTCAAAACCCACCAACAACTGTTCAACAGGTATATCAGCGACGTACGCTCCGAGTCGACTTCCGCCGTTATATCAGCGATCTCCGCCGCCGCTTTTGGGCTTCCGTCTCGCTTCTGTGTCGCCTCGCCGTCCGCCGGTACGTTTCTCCGCGAACCGTCGGATTTCCGTGCTACGTTCGACGTTAAGCTCTCGTTGAAGTTCAAAGAGCTGACGCGTTGGTTTCTCTCCTCGCAGGCTCCTGTGAGAGACAGGCATTAACGCCCCGTCTCGCATGAATATTTTCTGCCGTCAGCAACGATTTCTGCCGTCAGCAACAATTTCTGCCGTCAGCATCAATTTCTGCCGTCAGCAACGACTTCTGCCGTCAGGAGAAAACTATTTTCGACCTCGCAGGTACGCACGAATGTCCGATTTCGTTTCCGCAGTGCTCGATCTCTTGCCGTCTAAACTGATTCGATTCGTTTCTCTTGTTGCAGGTAACCATGACGCGTGTTCGCCACCTGTTCTTCGTCAAGCTTTCGCCTCCTGCTCGCCATCAAGCATTCGCCATCTCGCCTGAAGATTCGCCATCAAGCATTCGCACCACAATAAAGATAAGTCAACTTCCCCTCTCTAGACCATCAAGCATGTGCGCTTTCTGTTTCTGCTTAAATCCACATTCGCTTGAATCCACATTCGCTTCATTCGCTTAAATCCACATTCGCTTCACCCCGTCATTGCATTCATCACTCCGCCGCATGTCAGTGGCCTGTCCAGCAGAGAGCAGGAGCAGGGTCCCTTGCTATAGTCCAGTGGGGTGGCCTGTCAACCTTAAATTCCCGAAACCCTTAGTCAAAACGGCCTTTGTCTAGGTGCAGGGTCCCTTGCTATAGTCCAGTGGGGTGTCCTCTGTTGTAGCGTCCTGAGTCGTCTCCCAAAATCAACCGATTCCTCGTTGAATCAATCAGCCACCCCCTCCTCGCCTCTGCTGGATGTGCCACTGACAAGCAACCCCCCCCCCCCTCCCCCACGCTCCCACGCCATCATTCATGCACACATCGAACCCCCTTCGACTTGACTCGCAATTTCGAATTTGCTGATTCACTCTCTGTGCCACACTTCCCCCCCTCGGTTGCTGGCCTTCAACTCATTCCTCCCCTTCCTCCCCTTTCTCCCCTATTTGTCCTCCCCGCCCCCCCTCCCTTCAGGGCATGCGCATGCCGAGTGCAGGGGCGAAGGGAGAGCCAAGGCGGGCAGCAAGGGGGCGGGCAGCAGAGGAGCAGCACCGTCGCTCATGGTTGGTGAGGTTGCAGTATCACTCCACGCCTCCACACACCACAAGAGCCTTCCCCCCAGGTTCAGGTTCAGGTTCAGGTTCAGGTTCAGGTGTTTTTTTTTGGTACTGGCTCGAGTGGTGCTGTGGCTGGCATCATATGCACCATCCATTCTGCACTCGCACAGCTTTCGAACGTTCTTTTCAATTCGATTCGTGTTTTTTTATTTTTAAAATCTTTGCCACTCATTCCCCTTCCCTCCCTCCCCTCCCTCCCCTCTCTCCCCTCCCTCCCCTCGATGGCTCCCTGGTGGTCGTGCAGGCATGCACAGCGGAAGGCTGGGAGGAAGGCTGCCACGAGGGGAACTCCCAGGGAGAGTATCGGGGTGGGGCCGGCGCCTCAAGGTAGGCCCCTCGCCTGCACTTGCCTGCTCCCCTCTCGTTCTGCTCTGCCTGGCTGGGAGGAAGGCTCATCTGGTGCTGCCTTGTGGCGCTCATGCTTCCAAGCCGCCTGTCGTTCCTTAGCATCATGATGGCTTCACTTCCCCTTGGCTGGGCCACGGCTTGCTCTCACTCGCATTCTGTCTGCATCCCCCTTCCTGCCCCTCTCCAGGCGAACTGCGGCAGCAGCTGGATGCAGGGAGCAGCAGGCGGGGAGCAGCAGCAGCAGGCGGGGAGCAGCAGCAGCAGGAAGGGCAGCAGCCGTGCTTCAACTTTCCAGCTAAGTACTTTCTCCCTGAGACCTTCCCTTTTCTGCTGCTCACTGCTCACTATTCCGCTTTCCTTGCTTTTCCTGTGCCTTGATGCTTCCTGTATTACAAATTTGCCACTGGTTGGGGCCTCGTTCACAAGCCACAGACCCCCCTCTGCTGCTGGTAAACCCCCCCAGGTTAAGCCCCCCTAAAACCTTACAGCCCCCCCCAGGTTCACCCCCTACTGCAGGTTCAGCCCTCAGGTCCCCCTGGGGGTCTGTGGCTTGTGGGTAAGCCTCCACCAGTGGCCCCTCCCCCCTCCCTTCGCTTCAGCCTAGATACTATCTCTGTGCACTGACCAGCTCTGCTTGTGTGCCTTGCAGGTGGAGGGTAGGGGCGTGGGGGTCAGCACCGGCACTCTCCCACGCCCCTCCCCTGTGAAGGTCGAGGTGAGGGTCGCCCCTCCCCTGTGGGCGTGGGGGTCAACACCGGCACTCTCCCACGCCCCTCCCCTGTGGCTGGGCGGCATGGCAGCCCGCAGGGATGGGAGGAAGGCACCACTGCACCAGGCTGAAACTGCCACCCCAACGGAGAGTATGGGGGCTGGGCTTGGCTTCTCAAGGTGCGCTGATTCCCCCTCTGGAGTTAATTTAATGCTCTCTATTATTCCTGTTCCCGTTTTTTCAGATGCACTTCGTTTCTGATTCTCTCAACTGCACCAGTCCCAACCTTGTCGTCTCACCAGTTCCCCCTCCCCTCCTCTCCTGTCTCCCCCCCCCTTCTGCCCCCCTCTAGGTCGCCTGGCATCAGGTGAAGACTGCAGCAGAGCAGCGGAGCAGCAGACCGGCAGCAGCAGTTGCAGCAGCAGAAGCGGCAGCAGCTGAAGCAGTGGCAGCAGTGGGGGCTGGGGGGCTGCAGGGCAGGCTAGGCTAGGTCGAGTTGTGAGCGAGGTGTGGTAAGAGGTAAGGTATGGTACCAGGTGAGGTGTGGTGATCTGACCCCGTCCCCTTTTTTTTTCGTCATCCCCTCCTGCAGCTTGAAGATTGGAGCACTGGAGCAAGGGAGAGCTGGAGAGTGGAGCGCACCCCCTCACTCACCTCCTCCCCTCCCCTCTCCCTGTTCCCCCCTCCCTCCCTCCCCGCTTCCCAGTATTCCTGGATCGGAGCACTGGAGCAAGGGCAGGAGAGTGGAGCGCACCCTCTCACTCACCCCCTCCCCTCCCTACCCAGCAGCACCATGCCTTGAGGAGAGTGGAGTTCCCCTCCTCCCCTAATCCCCCCGCCCTCCCCACCCCCCCCCCCCGGTGGCTCCTTGGCTTGACAAGAGAGGAGTCGCCTCCTCCCTAATCCCCCCCCGTCCCTCCCCACTCCCCAGCAGCCTCAGGCTCTGCATGGCTGTGGTAGGTAGAGGTAAGGACGTATGGGGGTGAAGGGAGGGGGGTGGAGGGAGGGGGATGGGTGGGGAGCAGGGAGCAAGCAGTCAGCTCACTGCCTCAAGGGCAGCACCCGCGGTGGCTGTGGCTTGTGGGTCGGGTGTGGCTGGTGGAATCTGCGAGGCGTCGGCAGTTGGTGCTCAAGTAACCGATCTGACGTTTAAGGCTTAATGGACACCGTCAGAGTCGGCCGGCCGGCGGCTCTGGTTCGCGTCAGCTCTAGCCACGTCAGGGGTGGGATTTGAGTCTTGGGCCACGTCATGCTCTTCCACCGCCACACCTCGCCCCTAAAGCCTTGGCCACTTTGGGTGCTGTTTCCGAAAGGGAGTGGGCTGCCCGCTGCTCCTACTGCTGACGGGTGAAGGTGAGGGAGTGATGGTGGGGGGGGTGATGGTGGTGGTGATTGGGTATGGGGATGCACTGACTGGGTATGGGGCAGGGAGGCACATGATGATGCTACATGGAGTGCCTGATGCCACCCTGCCCTGTGCCAGTCTGGTGATGCATGGCTCCTTGGACATCTGCACGCAAGGTGAGGTGTGGTAGTGATGGGTGAAGCTGAGTGAGGGGCGAAGTGAGGGGGTTCTGAAACCCCAACGGGTAACTTGAGTGCAGGGTGAAGTGAGGGGGTTGTGAAACCCCAAGGGTAAGTTGAGTGAGGGGTTAAATGAGGGAGTTCTGAACCTTAAAGGGTAACTTAAGTGAGGGGCGAAGGCAGGGGGTTCTGAAACCCCAAGGGTAAGTTGAGTGAGGGGCGAAGTGAGGGGGTTTTGAAATCCCAAGGGTTAGTTGACTGAGGGATGAACGAGGCGGGAATGAAACCCCCCGAGGTAAGTTGAGTGAGGGTTGAAGTGAGGGGAGCCTGAAACCCCAAGGGAAAGTTGAGTGAGGGAGGATGTGACGGGGTTCTGAAACCCCAATGGGTAAGTTCAGTGAGGGGCGAAGGAGGGGTTCTGGAACCCTCAAGGATGTATTGAGGGATGGGTGAAAGGAGGTGGTTTTGTAACTTCCATAAGGTTACTTCGAGTGAGGAGCAAGGGAAGGAGGTTGGAAATTTCTTGGTAGTGCCAGTGAAAGACAGGAGATGGGGGCAGGAGTTTCCCAAGGTGATGCTTGTGAGTGGTAGGGAGGGAGGAGGGGGGTGGGAACCTGCAGGTCAAGGCGTGCAACGGGCAGGGGCACACCTCTCGTCTGCCTTTGGCACGCCTACCTGGGGGCTTCAACTCCCCTCTTCTGCCTCTCACTCGCCGTACTTCAGCCCCTCTCCCATGACTTGCACTTGCCTTACCCTTGAGGTTTCCACCCCCGTCCTCTGCTTCTGAGTGCATAGGTGGGAAGTGAGGGGGGTTCACTTCTGACCCCCAGCATAGAGGTGAGTGGGATGTGAGGGAGGTTCAGATCCCAAGTGTGTGAGTGGGATGTGAAGGGGGTTCAGATCCCAAGTATAGAGGTGGGAAGTGAGGGGGGTTCAGACCCCAAGTATAGAGGTGAGGCGGGTGAGTGGTGCTCAGACCCCAACTAGAGAGGTGAGGCATGTGAGAGGGGGTTCGTTCAGACCCCAAAATAAGGGTAAAGACAGGTGGGGGGGTAGGGGGAGTTCAGACCTCAACTCTAGATCGAGACGGCTGAGGGGGGTTCAAACCCCAATTGTAGGGGTGAGACGGGTGAGCGGGGTGCAGATCCCAGATACTGGTGAGATGGTGACGGAGGGCTCAAACGCCAACCATAGAGGTGAGGAAGGTGAGGGGGGATGCGAGGTGGGGTGTGGTGCTGTGGAGTGATTGAAGGTGGGGTGCGGTGCTGATGGTTGGTGTGAGGGGGACTGTGTGTGGGCAGGGCAGCACATGATGATGTTGCATGGAGTGCCTGCTGCCGCCCTGCCCCTGCCCCTCTACCAGCCCTGCTTGGCTGCTACCCACAATGTGGTGGTATGGTGTATGGACTGGTGTGGTACCGTAATCCCCCGTAACACCCGCCGAAATAGTCACTCCGCGGGTGGTTTATGCGGGGGAGAGCTTATGATAGGGTGAATTTAGGAGAGCACCCGCTTTTCGGGGGCTGCATTTTACATAACACCCTCGTTTTATGCAGCAAAGAACAGTATTTCATAGTTTTTCAAGCTCAAATCGATTGAGAAAGAAGACGAACATGATGAAAAACGCAATGTCAACTACCACTAGCAGCGAAAAAACAGGCAGAAACATCAACACAAGTTGCAGCGCGAAATCGAAACGTCAGCAAAGGTCGAGACTCGGGAGGATTTCGACCGTCGCAGGCGCGGACGCTGTTGTGATTTGACGGTCAAAAGCCTCCCGAGCGAAATCCTCCCGTCGAAGTCGCCGATTCTGTCGCGATCATGACGGTCGCAGATGTCGCACAACTCAGCAGGGATTGGCCAACGACGATTGCTTCGTGAGTTTCGTCTTAGCGGATGCTGTACCTCGCTAACAATCGCTCTGCGCATTTTGAACACACATGGCATAAAACACTCAAATTCAAATTGCATTTTACATAACACATGTGCACTATAGTTTTTCCGAGCCATTGTTAACACCCAGTCATTTTTTTAGTGTAATTTTATATACACCCTAGGGTGTTATATACGGGGGATTACGGTATGATGTATGGACTGGTGTGGTATGGTAGATCAAATGGTTTGTGTGGTATGATCGATTGGCTGCCTAGGCTTGGAATGGTGCAGTGACTACATGTGGTATGATGCAGCCCTCCCAGCAGCTCAGCATGCGGGCGTCTGCTTCCCTTGCTCACCTCAACCTGCTGCTTTTTGCCGAATGCAAGGGGTTAGCAGTTCTGCATTGGCTTGAAGTAGTGCCCACATCCTGGACCTCAAGTGGCACTCCCAACTGCTTTGCAATGTTGTGTAGCTAGGGTGTCCCCTTTGTGCTGCAACATTTTAAAGAAAGATATCCAAGCATGCTTTTGTTTTAAGATTTTTTTTTGGATATGGAACATTTGATGAAGGTATATGCATTACATTGGGGCAGCGAAATACGAAACTTATGCCGAATGGTTGATCTTATAACTGCTAGAAATCGTATCGAGTTCCCCTGTAGCAACGGAAAACCGCCGAATTTGTTGGTTACCGTTGGACTTCCATCTGAAGAGCTTCCTTCCTCTGCTGAAGCCCAAGTAGACCAACTTCTTCCATGGCTTCCTGTCAGTCTCCCTGTCCTTAGTAGTCCAGCACTCTTAATTTCAACGGTAAGCTAAGGAATAAGCTTTTGACTGACCGAGTAAGCATTGCAGCGGTTGACGGTACATTCAGCAACCAAGTAGGCGTTCCAGTGACTTGAGTCAGCATTTCTGTGATCAAACAAGGAGTTTCAGGGATCAAGCATAATAGCGACGAAGTATTTCGGAATCTAGTCGTTTTAACGACTAAGCATTTCAGCGACGAAGCATTTCAGCAACTAAGCATTTCAGCGACGAAGCATTTCAGCAACTAAGCATTTCAGCGACTAAGCATTCAGCATCAGGCATCTCAGCGACTTGTTAAGTGTGATCGCCGTCCCGCGCACCAGAGCGACCTGCCTGGCACAGGTGACGAGCAATTACTCAGCAACGAGCACATGTGGCGACGAGGCTTAGATCCGCTGAGAAAGCTGACACGTGGCGACCTGCGAGGCGTGGGACAGATTGACGCATGGCGAGGTAACGATCCGTAGCCGGTGGGTGCGAGTAGGGGCTGAGAGCGAGATCAGCGAGGGATGCATGTTCTGACGACCTGTGAACGACTGCTTTTGAGTCGACTCAAAAGCTGAGAATGAGAGCAGAGAGGGCTGCATGTTCTGACGACCTGTGAACGACGAGACATATCAAAGGTCTCGGCTTATCTTAGACCTCGTCGTATCAAAGACCTCCTCAAACGCTGACGTTTCAGCACTAGGTTCTGGTCAGTCATCAGAGCAAGTTCATTCTTCACGTCTCGCGCTGGTCGCTGCTATTTCAGGCACAATTCCTCTATTTGCACATCAAGTTTCTTTTTTCCACCCCCTTCCTCAACCCCAACCCCCCCCTCCCGATGCTCTTCCCCTCATACCATAACTACCTGCAGCTCTCGCATCTTCCGTTCATCCCACTCCTCTACCAGCACCAGCGCCGAGCCTCCCTATTCACTCGAACGGACCTGCCGAAGCTGCTCGGTTGGCTCGGGCCGAATCAGCGGCAGACGTCAGGCTGACAGCAGGGTTTTTAGCAGCGGCTGCTGCAGCAGCAGCAGCTGGCTCAGTCGTGGCCTTGGGATTGTCGCCAGTGTATGCCGAGGCACCAGAGGCGGAAAGCAGCAACTCTGATGCGGGTGTAGGGCGAGAGGGCTCCAATGGCGCTGTTGGGACAGCGCTGGTGGGATCGGAAGGTGCAGGGCCCGTGGGGTCAGTTGGTGCGGGGCCAGTGGGGCCAGCAGTGGGCAACAAGCACACGGCACGATGGCGGGTGTTCACAGACCGAGGCAGAGAGCTGTTCTCGCAGGTGGGCGATTATTCAGGCGAGTCTCCAGGTGAATTTAGAAGATCGTGCATGCGTCTGCTCGCGTAATTCATGCCGGCTTGTTGAATTCTCTTCCTCCTGCTCACTGCCTTCCCCAGGGTCGCTTCCGGGATGCAGAGCGGTACTTGCAGCGCGCTGTGGAGGAGAATTAAGCCGCATTTTCCTTCCATATCTCTCTCTGCCCTTCCCTGCCCGCCTGCCCCTGTCTCTCTCCCTCTCTACCAGGGTCGCTTACGGGATGCAGAGCGGTACCTGCAACGGGCAGTGGAGGAGGCGAAGGAAGGGTTTGGTCCCTCTGATCCGCACGTGGCGTCCAGCTGCAACAACCTGGTGGGTGACACGAGGGGAGAGGAGGGGGGGATGTGTGGTGTGTGAAACGTGGGGAAGGGAGAGGGGGGGGGGGAGGGGTAAGGGGGGTGGTTGAACCTCACATGCTGTTGCTGGTGACCCAGACGCGGCATCCAGCTGCAATAATCTGGTGGGCGAAAGAACGAAAGCGTGAGGAGTTTGGGATGCAGGGCGGTACCTGCAGCAGGCTATGGAGGAGGATAGGGAGGCATTCGTATGGGGGAGAGGGGGTTGAGAGAGGGGGGGGAGAGGGGGAGAGGGGGAGAGAGGCGGGAGCGAGGGGGAGGAGAAGGGGGAAAGGAGAGGAGTTCACGGGGTGAGAGGAGATGATCTGCCCGTCCGTGTTGGGCTCCTGATCGTATGCTGACTTCCTTCGTCCTCTCCACCACACACCAGGCAGAGCTACACCGAGTGATGGGCGAGCGAGCAGCGGGGGAGCGTCTGTTCCAGGAGGCGGCAGAAGGCCATCGCATCCCTGCCCCTAGCTACCACTCTGCACAATCTCATGCCTGCGCCCTTTCCTTCTCCTCTCCTGTCTGCCACGCGCAGGCCGAGCTATACCAAGTCATGGGCGAGTGGGCAGCAGCGGAGCATCTTTTCCAGGAGGCAGCAGAACGGTTGAGACAAGCTGAGATGCCTCTGCTCCTGGCTGCCACCCTGCATATCCTCACGGCCGTGCCATTTCCTTATCTTGCCTTCTTCTCTCTCAACTACCACACACCAGGCGGAGCTATACAGAGTCATGGGCGAGTGGGCAGCAGCGGAGCGTTTGTTCCTAGAAGCAGCAGAGCGGCTGAGACAAGCTGAGATGCCGCTGCCCCTAGCTGCCACCCTGCACAACCTGGGAGGGCTGTACCTGCAGCAGGGGAAACTGGGGCAGGCTGGATCTGATCAGGCTCAACTGGAGAAGGCTCGTGTGTGCTACGAGGTCAGTTTCTGGCATGCTGTAGCAGCAGTTTGGCTGATTGAGAGACAATCCGAGATGCCGCTGCCCCTAGCTGTCACACTAAACAGCCTGGGAGGGTTGTACCTGTAGCAGGGGAAACTGGGACAGTCTGGATCTGATAAGGCCCAGATAGAGAAGGCTCTCGTGGGCTATGAGGTCCGTTCCTACCTAGATTCTAGCATAACACGTTTTGAGAAGAAAAGCACACATGCAGCTGCCCCACTCTGCTGTGTTGTGCTGATTTCTCTATCCTTTGTTCTGTGTCCTGGCATGTGATGGCATGTGATGGCATGTGATGGCATGTGATGGCATGTGTTGACATGTGATGGCATGTGATGGCATGTGTTGACATGTGACGGCATGTGATGGCATGTGTTGGCATGTGATGGCATGTGTTGGCATGTGATGGCATGTGATGGCATGTGATGGCATGTGTTGACATGTGATGGCATGTGATGGCATGTGATGGCATGTGTTGACATGTGATGGCATGTGATGGCATGTGATGGCATGTGTTGACATGTGACGGCATGTGATGGCATGTGTTGGCATGTGATGGCATGTGTTGGCATGTGATGGCATGTGCTGGCATGTGATGGCATGTGATGGCATGTGATGGCATGTGATGGCATGTGATGGCATGTGATGGCATGCGATGGCATGTGATGGCATGTGATGACATGTGATGGCATGTGATGGCTCGAGGGTCAACATGTCAACCACGTATCAACGGTCTACAGGAGGCGCTTAAGGTGTGGTGCAGTTGGTTTGGTAGTAGTACGCCTTTCTGTTCTTTCCTTATCCCTGAGATTCTCAGGAGGCTTCTTAGGCATGCTGTGTTGTGCTGATTTCCCCACCTGTCCTCTCCTTAGAAGTTGCAGCTCTGTCCTCTCCTTACCTGTTGGTGAGTTGTTCCTTCTGCTTTTCCATTCCCAACCTCTTTTGCCTTTTCTGGTTGTTTCTCCCACTGCAGCTCAAAGCCAAGGAACTGGGGTTATCTCATGCAGACTATGCCAACACTATGTTCCATCTAGCAGAGGTGAGGCTAGGTGACTCCGACTAGGAATACGCTTGTGGTGACAGTGCTTTCCAGTGTTCTCATGTTAACCTAATCTACGCGCTCTGCTTTCCCCGTACGCGCATCAGCACCACCACGCTTGGTTGTTATCTGCCGCTGTCTCGCCTCTCTGCAAATCTTCTCCTTCTTGACCTGCCGCTCTTGCTGTTTGCTGTGGCTGGGTTGTTTTCCTGTCAGGTATTCCGTCGGTTGGGCAGATGGGAGGAAGCGCAGGCGCTGCTGCGAGGGTCCGTGAAGATCCTCGAGGTGAGAGTGGACGAATAGAGAGAGCAGGGCGCCAGTGGAGGCGGGGCTTGGGGGGGGTGGGGGGGTGGGTGGGGGACAAGGGGGAGGGAGAGAGGAGGGTGGGCAGATGGGATGGGAGGAAGCACAGGCGCTGCTGCGAGGCTCCGTGAAGATGCTCGAGGTGAGAGTGGATGAATAGAGAGCAGGGCGTGGGTGGGGGCGGGGCTGGGGGGAGCGTGCGGGGATCAAGGGTAGCTGTGGAGGGACTAGAGTCGAGGGGAGGAGGAGGGTGGGCAGATGGGGGGAATGGGAAAAAGCACAGTGAGGGTCCTTGAAGATTCTGGAGGTATGGGGGGTAAGAAGAGTTGCCCCTTGGCTTGCTTGGGTAACAGCATGCACAAGGCATGCTCGGTTTTCGCATACATCACGTTTGGTGTCTGTGTTGGTTGATCTGTGCACAAAATCGGCTTTGTGTGCTGGTGTGGGCAGGACAGTGGGGGCAGTCGAGGGACAGCAGCAATGGCAAGGCGAATGATGCTTCTGGCACAGGTGGGTTTTTTGGGGTTGCGTAGCAACCCTATACATTTGGTTTTGCATTTCGGGGCACTGAAATGAATAGTAGTTTTCTAGGGGCATTTTCAAGGGCAGCCACCTAAAAACATTTTTTAGGCAGCAAAGATGTTTCTTGTTATCCCACCACAAAGGCAGATGGAATGACAATAAACACATTTACCCTTAAAAAAAAAAACGATTTAATGAATACACATCATGAAATCACACGAATGCCTCAAAGGGTATGCACAACAAAAACTAATGAGTACACAGAGATTGATCTGGCCACTCCGACAGCAACGCTGCCCAGTGACGATCACAATCTCGAACTGTAAAAACACGTGGCAGGTAGGGCACATACCTTGAGACAAACCCAAACATGAACACCACTGCAATAAGAAGCAAACATGTTTTCTGTCATCCACCTCGTCGATTAATACGGTGGATGGAACGACCAGAAAACACAATTTGCATCAACAAAAACGAATGAGTACACAGCGTGAAACGGTATGAATGCCTATGAATGAGTGCACGATTGTTTCAGTGTTAGAGCAGAGATTGACCTGGCCACTCTGATAGCGACGTTGGCCAGTGACGATCACAACCTCAAGCTACAAAAACACGTGGCTTATACATGCACGCATCCCGACACAACGTATAAAAGCCACAATTTCACATTCATACAAATGCAAAACAAGAATGCCATAATAGCATGCCAACAGAGTTGGGACGCACGTACATGCATGCGATGAATACCAACACAAGCAGAGAAATGAAGCATTGGCAAAACCAGAAGCTAATCCTGGGGGAAACACTTATGACTACTAATAACCACTCCAGAACACTCAACACCACCCTCCCTCCCTCTCTCCCTTGTCTTGCCTTCTGTCCCTCCATTCTACCCTCCCTCTCTCTCCCTCCCTCTCCCCCCCTCCCTCGCTCCTTCCCTCCCTTCCTCCCCCACTCCATCTTTCCCATCCCTCCCCCCCTCCTCTTTTGCTTTCTAGCTCCTCCCTCAACCCTTGAGATCCAAGATCTATCAAAGTCGATAACTACAGGGCACATAAAGATGTGCACAGATGGCCTGCGGGAAAAAGTGGGAGAACAAAGAATTATGAGAGTCGCACTAACATGATGTGTACATAAGCATGAGATGAGAGTTGTGTGCGTGTATAAGTTCAATGAACATGTGCGTTCATGACTGTAATAGCGAGTGAAAGGAAGGAATTTGAGGGTTTACTACACAATCAAAGAACTTCTGATGAGAGTGAGAGCAAGGGTGGTTATATGGCCAAAATTCAAACAAGCATAGTGCAAAAAAAACGAGAAAACAGTGTAGGGCTCGCTGAATAGGGAAGACTAGGGGCGGAAACAATGGCAATGAAGCACTTACAATTAACTCTGCCAAAACTCTCTTGGAACAGGAGTGTCAACTAGTTCTGCCTACTAAGTCAACATAGAAGGGATGTTGTTAAAAGACTCACACAAAAACAGAAACGAAATGACAGAAAGAGAGAGTGTGGGAGGGGTAGGGCACAACGGTCAGGACGATATAAAGTTACTGGCAATATGTAGCCCACCTGCACTACGACAAGCACGGCGTCAGTGCGCAAGCATCCAGTGGACAGGGCAACTAGTGCGCAGGCAGCCAGCGCGCAGGGCGCTAGCGCGAAAGCCGACAGCATGCACGCACCGAGTGCGCAGGCAACCAACCAACGCGCAGGGCGCTAGCGCGGCAGCAGCCAATGTCAAGGGCACTAGCGCGAAAGCTGCCAGCACGCAAGCAGGCAGCGTGCAGGGCGCTAGCGCACAAGCAGCCAGCGCGCAAGCCGCCAACGTGCAAGCAGCCAGCACGCCATGCGCTAGTGCGCAAGCCGCGCGCAGGGTGCTAGCACGCAAGCAAGCATCGCGCAGCCAGCCAGCGCACATGCGCAAGCGCGGAAGCAGCCAGCTAGCGCACAGGGCACTAGCATGCAAGCAGCAACACACAGGGCGTTAGCGCGCGAGCAGCCAGCGAGCAAGCAGCCAGCGCGCAGGGTGCCAACGTGCCAAGAGCCAGCGCGCACTACGCCAGCATGCAAGTTTTATGCAAGGAGGTACATAAAGCGAGAGTGGAGAGACGAGTCGAGAGAAAGAAAAAAGGGAAAACGACAATGCAAATGAACAAGTTCTTGCGGAAATAAACAAGTACAACTGAGATGCTTACTCACCTTGAACAACAGTCGTACCTTCCCTTCGCCATCCGCCCTCTTCCTCCTCTCCCCTCTGAACCCACACCGCTGCCGTCGTAGATCGCACCTCCAGCTGGCACGGCACGAGGGAGCCCGAGACGCACCGCCCCAGCGAACGAGCCGCAAGCGCGCACGGCCCTACACCAGGAGCTGCCTGGTGCTAGGGCAACTAGCGCCTGCGCGCTTAGTTGCTACAAACGCGTTTGGCGTTTGAACGCTAGCGTTTAAACACTAGCGTTTGAACGCTAAACGCTCGGCAGTGTGTATGTGAACGCTAGGCAAACGCTTGCCCGGGCAGGGGTAAAATTTTTACCCGGGCAGGGGTTCAAGATTCCTGTGGGGGAGGGGGGAAACATGGGGGTTCTACCAGCAAGCATTTTGTCCCATAAAAAAGAACCGTGCTTAACATTTAAGCCAGCATCCTCATATGTCATGTAAATCACCTATTCTTAAGGCTATTCTCCAACGACAATCTCGTGTTTTTTTTGGGGGTTGCAGCCCGAAAAAAATCCCAGAGAGCGTTTGCGTTTTTGGGTGCGTTTGGCGTTTGCGTTCAAACGCTTGCGTTTGAACGCTAAACGCGTGTCTGCCAGAGCGTTTGTAGCAACTAAGCCTGCGCGCACCTGCCCAGCACCCGTAGCACCAGCGCACATGGACCACAAGTGCCAGCGCGCACATCGCCACCACGCACCGGGCCAGCGCGCACACGGCCAGTGCGCACGGCGCCAGCGTGCACGCGACCAGCGCGCCTAGCTCCAGCGAGCACGCGGCCAGCGCGCACCTGGCGCCAGCACACACCAGGTCAGTGTGCACCTGGCGCCAGCGTGCATGGCGCCAGCATCAGCACCAGCACACATGGCGCCAGTGCCAGCGCGAGCGCCACCGCGCACCTAGCTCCAGCGGGCACGGCGCCAGCGCCAATGTGCACGGCGCGAGCGCCAGCGCCAGCGCACACGACGCCAGCGCGCACCTGGCACCAGCGCCAGCACCAGCACACATGGCGCCAGCGCTAGCGCCAGCGTGCACGGCGCCAGCGCGCACCTGGCGCCAGCGCTAGCACCAGCGCGAGTGCCGGGGCGCACCTGGCGCCAGCGCGCACGGTGCTGCGGCAACGCTGCATGGCGCCAGCACGCACTGGGCCAGCGCGTACGGCGCCAGCACACATTGCCCTACGGTGCATGTCACAAGGGAGGCGTGGGATACAAGTGCCAAGGGCTTAGAGGCAGAGCAAGGGCGAGTAGGTAAGGGCAAGAGCTAGAAGGAGAGACAGAAACGAATGCGCACCAAATCAGACCCTAGCCACAGCCCGTTCATGCCAATCCCAGTCAGCAGGAATCACCTTGTCGCTTGTTAATCCTCGGCAGCAAGTCACCTAATCTTGTCCCGGAGTACACCAGTATCACCTTTCAATGTTATATGACATGCGATCCATTTATGTTCACAAGATGTTTGGTTCGTATGTTATACTTGGTGGTGACTGCTTCCTGATATCAATACAGAAATATCCAGAAGCGCTTCCAATAATTTATTTTTGAAAATTTAGAACTTATGTAAGTACTTGTACAAATGCATTTTGTTAAAGGAGTAGATCCATGTTAATTGGTTTCGTAATGCAATTCTAAATATTAGTAATGAACTGTAGAACAACCAAACAACCATGCGAAGGACGCATCTACGCAACCCTCCCAACGGTAACACGTCGAGCCTTGTTTCCTTTTGCATGCAATGGGATAGGTAGGAGAGAGGTGCGATGACTAGAGAATGTGAGTGGAACAGTATTCCTGGCACATAGGTGGGATGGTGCATGGATGCTCGTCACTCAAAACCCCCTTCCTCCTGCCCGTTACCTGGCACCCCCCTTCCTTCACTAGCAGATGCTCGTGCAGGCTGCATCCACGCCCCCTGCTTCCCCTCCATCTGCCACCACCTCCCCCGCGCCTATGAAAGAGCAGCAGCACCAGCAGCACCAGCAGCAGCAGCAGCAGCAGCAGGGGCAGCAGAGGGGCAGTATGGGCTTTAGTGAGGGGGACATTGAGCTCCTGAGGGAGGCTGAGCGGCTGCAGAGACGGGCAATACATGCCGTGGAGATGGCGGAGGTGAGTAAAAGGTGTGGGGGGGGATGAATGAGTGAAGGATGGGGGAGGTGAGTGAAGGATGGGGGGGCCTCTGATGCATGCAACAGGAGGGGAACATGTGAGAGGGGGGTTGAGTGAGATGCATGCAGTGGAGACAGGAGAGGTGACTCGGTAGTTCTCATGCCCTTCTACCTTCACTAACCCCTCCACCGAATTTTCTTCATCTCACCAACCCCTCGTCCGATTTCCTTCGTCTGACGCTGCACTCTCTACTTCTCAGGGCACGGAGGCCCCTTCCCTGGCCGGCATGCTGGCATCTCTGGCTGCCACACTTGAGAAGCAGAAACGACTGGAGGAGGCACGTGAATTTCTACTCAGGTGATTTGCTTCCCTCTTGATCAGTCACCTCTCTGTTTATCCTCGTGCTTTTATTCTCATGTTGTTGCTTTCTTCCCTTCCATTGTCATGAATCATGCTCTACTCCCTGTTTCTCCTCTCATGAATTATGCCTCTCTCTCCCAATCTCCCCCACCGGCCTTGTCTGGCAGGTCTCTCCATCTGAGGCAGACTGCTCTTGGCTCGGACCATTTCCTTGTGAGTGAGCTTGGGAGGACAGACCGAGGTGAGAGAATGGCATGAAGTGATGTTGAGGGGCTTGTTGAGACTTCGAGGCTGATAAGGATAAGTCAGAGGCCCTCTCATAAGTCAGAGGATAAGTCTGGCTGTTTTTCAGAGTGAAATAAGTAGGCATATCACAATAGCTATAATTTGATAGTATCTATGATTGTTGAGTACTGTGCAGTAGTGTGTCTCATCTCATCCATCCAGACTGCCACCACCACTCAAACTCAACACCCCTCATCCATCCATCCATGCATCTCTCTCTACCCATCTGTGCAGGTAGCCAGCACCCTCACTCCTCTCGCTGCAGTCACACTCCAGATGCTCACAAGGCAACGAACCAGTGCAGGTGCGGGTTGCGATACCTGCTGCATGCTGTTCCTATAGGGGCTGCACCTAGGGGATGCACCTATAGTGGATGCACCTATAGGGGCCGCACGTATAGGGGCTGCACCTATAGGGGCTGCAACCGTAGGGGCTGTACCTATAGGGGTGCATGGCCCATTGCACGTGCAGATGGTCCATAGCGCTGGGGATGCTTCATCATCCATTGTCTACGACTAATGATTCATTGTGAATCCCTTTCGCTTCTCCCGTGTGTAGATGCTTCCAAGGGCGAGCAAGCAAAGGAGGATGCTGAGCAGAAGGAGCAGCTTGAGGACACAATCCGTGCCATGCAACGTGCTGTCAGGTACCTTCTTTTGACGAAGCATGTATCCGCCTCACTAGGCGCGCTCGTCTCACTAGGGCGAGCTCGTTTCACTAGGGAACGCTCGGCTCACTAGACCGCACCCGGCTGTGCACTACCGTGGTGCTTGTCCACTACCGTGGTGCTTGTCCACTACCGTGGTGCTTGTGCACTACCGTGGTGCTGTGCAGTACTGTGGTGCTTGAGCACTACCGTGGTGCTTGGGCACTACCGTGGTGCTTGGGCACTACCGTGGTGCTTGGGCACTACCGTGGTGCTTGCGCTTGAGCACTACCGTGGTGCTTGAGCACTACCGTGGTGCTTGTGCACTACCGTGGTGCTTGGGCACTGTCGTGGTGCTTGAGCACTACCGTGGTGCTTGGGCACTATCTTGGTGCTTGAGCACTACCGTGGTGCTTGTGCACTGCCGTGGTGCTTGGGCACTACCATGGTGCTTGAGCACTACCGTGGTGCCTGAGCACTACCTTGGTGCTTGTGCACTACTGTGGTGCGTGTGCACTACCGAGTTGCTGTGCACTACCATGGTGCGTGTGCACTACCGTGGTGCTTGTGCACTACCGTGGTGCGTGTGCACTACAGTGGTGCTGTGCACTACTGCGGTGCTTGTGCACTATCGTGGTGCTTGTGCACAACCATGGTGCTTGTGCACTACCGTGGTGCTTGTGCACTACCGTGGTGCTTGGGCACTACCGTGGTGCCTGAGCACTACCTTGGTGCTTGTGCACTACCGTGGTGCGTGTGCACTACCATGGTGCTGTGCACTACTGTGGTGCTTGTGCACTACCGTGGTGCTTGTGCACTACCGTGGTGCTGTGCACTACCGTGGTGCTTGTGCACTACCGAGGTGCTGTGCACTACTGTGGTGCGTGTGCACTACCGTGGTGCGTGTGCACTACAGTGGTGCTGTGCACTACCGTGGTGCGTGTGCACTACGGTGGTGCTGTGCACTACTGTGGTGCTTGTGCACTGTCGTGGTGCTTGCGCACTACCGTGGTGCTGTGCACTTTCGTGGTGCTTTGCACTACCGTGTCGACTATGCACTGGGTAGGCCTCCTCTCTCGCTCGGTTGGCCTCCTCTCTCGCCTAGTAGGCCTCCTCTCGCGCCGGGTAGGCCTCTTCTCTTGCCCGGTAGGCCTCCTCTCTTGCCCGGTAGGCCTCCTCTCTCCCCTGGTAGCAGGGTTCAAACTTATGGCGTTTTTTATATATTTTAGCCCGTATTTTACGGTTTTGTCATTTACAGCGGTATAATACGAATATTACGGCTCAAAATCAAACAGCCTTTTTAAAAAACCTGTGGTGTACATTCAGAATCTCGAATTCCGTACCAGAATTTTGGGGATGGGGTTAGACACGCACCCCCAAATGTTCATAAGTCAACTTTTCCCGAAGCGCGAATTCACCCGAACCCTGAGTCACGCATTTTACCAAAATTCTTTGTGCCGTTATGAAAGAACCCCCCCCTCCGCGAAACGCGTTGGTTATTTTCGCGCCCAGTAGGCCTCCTCTTTCATCCGGAAGGCCTCCTCTCTCGGCCGGTAGGCCTCCTCTCTCGCCCCGTAAGCCTCCTCTCTCGCCCGGTAGGCATCCTCTCTCGCCTGGTAGGCCTCCTCTCTCGCCTGGTAGGCCACCTCTCTCGTACGGAAGGCCTCTTCTCTCCCGTGGTAGGCCTCCTCTCTCGCCTTGGAGGCCTCCTCTCTCGCCCGGTAACCCTCCTCTCTCAACCGGTAGGTTTTCTTACTCGCCCCGTAGGCCTCCTATCTCGCCCCCATAGGCTCTCGCCCGGTAGGCCTCCTCTCTCGCCCGGTAGGCCTCCTCTCTCGCCCGGTAGGCCTCCTCTCTTGCCTGGTAGGCCTCCTCTCTCGCCCGGTAGGCCTCCGCTCTCCCCCGGTTAGGGATGGGCAGGGGGCGAGTCGAGTAAAACTTGCCTCGAGTAATTATGACTCGCCTCCCTTAATTGGCGAGTCGAGCAATACTTGAGTCGAGCTTTTTTCTCAAGGGCCCGACTCGTTTACTCGTTTTTTAGACGAGTAAAATTTTTACTCGGGGCGAGTAGTTTTTACTCGCCCTGAGGCAAGCATTACTCGACTCGGGCCATTGTTCCCCACTTCCCTTTCTCTCACATTCTGGGAGGGGTGCTTTTAGGGGGCCAGAGTTGTAAGTCCAGCTGTGCATTGCCATGCAATGCACGTTTTGAGTGTGAACAAGGGCAATGAGGTTGTGACAGGTGCCTATAACCTTTTTTGCAAAGGTCTGCCCTTGAGGTTGGTGTCCAATCACCACGTCCCGTGACCACCACGTGCTGGCAGGTTGGGTCAGGTGCTGCAGAAGGGAAGAGCCTTCTCCGTTCCATGTGTACACTAGATCAATAATTGCAGCAACCAACAAAGACAGTTGCACATTTGTTATGATAAGTTGACGCTGTCACGGGGGTATAAATAACCAACAAAGACAGTCACTGATCAAGTCAGGGAGAGAGATGACATCGAGGGCAAGCAAGGGCTTGTCAAGTGTCGGGGCAAGGGCAAGGCAAGGGCAGCCAGCCAGCCAGGCAAGCAAGTCCCCGACGTCGCCTCTATCACATCCCCTCCTCCACCTCCACCCCCAAGTCCTCCACCTCCTCATCCCCAGTGACCGGCGCGTCGGCGAGCCGCTCGCCGGGGTGCGACGCAATCCATGACTTCAAAGTCATGCAGGCGCGCACACGCTCGGCCCCAAGCCGATGCCGCTTCCATGTGATAAGGTTGCGGCTCTGAGAGAAGACTCTCTCGCTTGCCGCCGACGTAGCGGGGATGGCAAGGTAATCCCTGGCCATCGCCTGCAGTCCGGGAAGGTCCGACCTGCGGCGCCAGTAGGCAAGCGGCGATGCCCAGATCGGCTCCAGCGGCTCATCCACATACAGCTGTATCTCGTCCTTGACCTGGGAGGATTGCTGGCTGCGGAGCTGTGTGAGCTGGGCAACCAAACTGTCACCGTCGTCATCATCTCCCCCGAACGCTGAGCCGAAACGGCCGGGGACATCGTCACTTCCATCCCCTCCCATCCTCCCCATCCCACCACCCCTCACGACCTCAGCGTTCCCCGCTGCCTCACGGACCTTGATCATGTAGGGCAGCCACTTACCGCGCACCAGATCTAGCACATCAGCCTCCTGCACCTGGTCAACAACAGAGGTGACGAGGGAGCCACGCGGGAGGCTGAAGTAGCCCAGCTTCATGGACGGGTCCAGAAACGTCGCGATGCAGAGCTCATCGCTACTGCTGCAGTAGTACTCCTGCAGTTTGGGCAGAGCCGCACCGATGCACGCAGTGATGAGGGGGGGGGGGGGTTCGCGGGGTCCTGCTGCAGCTTGTCCAACCTGCCCATGAGTTCGTTGAACTGCGGCACCACCCGGCTGACGGTAGGATACTGGGACCCTTCGGCGGCCAGAGTGACGGCGTTGAATGGCTTGAGGAAAGCAGCGAGTACCTCAAGCGTCCGCCACTGCTCAGGGCTGAGGCGTAGTTCCGCAAGGCGCCTCGTCTCGCGGGTAGTGGACTGCGGGGCGGGGTGTGTCATGCAATTGGCGGGGGCGGGGTGGGCGCCAATGTGGCGATCCAATGGAGTGTGTCACACTTGTGGGGTTGCGCGTATGGCTGCATGTATGGCGGCATGTATGGGTGCATGTATGGCTGCGTGTACAGCTGCGTGTACGGCTTCATACGGCTACATGTATGGCATCTGAAAAGGCCGGCGGGGGCCAGCGTCACACTTGCTTAAGAACAGCAAATGCACCGCGAAGGAAGGCTAGTTAACTTGCCCAATGGGGAGGAGGCTCACCCCAACGGCGCGGCGGAAGAAGGCATCCAGTGCCTCTCGGAGACGAAGGCCACGTGTGATCATGTTGAAGGTCGACCCCCAACGCACATCCATGTCCTGTCGTAGCTTAAGGACCGGCTGTGTAGGATATTGTCGGCGCTGCTCCTCCTCGAACTGCAGCACCTTCTGGGGCCTGAACCCGATGAAGGTCGCGCATTCGCGCAGAATGCCTAGCGGTTCCTTCACCTCCTCAACCCCCCGCAATACCTGCTGCACTGCAAGATTGCAGATGTGCGCGAGGCAACTGGGGAGGGAGTGGAGGAAGAGAGGGGGAATGGAATCTGGCCGGCTAAGGGCCGGGACCATGTGCTTATTGGTACCCGAGCACGTGGCAGCAGATGGGATTATGTAGGGCAGCATGGCTTAAAACCTTACCGGATGTGCAGGCCAGTGCTGAATAGGCGAGGAAACCTGTCGCCAGGGCCCTGCCTCGACAACCACTGCATTGCAGCAATGTTCGTGGAGGCGTTGTCCGTTGTGACCGCCATGCAACGGCCCACCAGCCCCCAATCCAGAACCACTTCCTCCAGCACCGCCGCCACGACGGCGGCAGTATGCCTGGCTGGAAGCGCAGCGAACTCAAGCGTAGCCTGCCTGAATTCGAACGCGGTGGTCAGCCAGTGGCCGGTGACCGCCATGTACCCGCGATGGTTCTCGCCCGACCAGATGTCGGTGGTGAAGGACATCGCCCCCCCACCTGCGGCAACTGCCACCTCCAGCTTACTCATGGCGCGGGCTGCACGGGACATGCGGACAAGGCCCCGTGTCATGGCACCGCGCGATGGGATCACACCAGGTGCCCCACACTGGACGTTGGAGGCAGTCATCATGCGGCGGTACTGGTTTGGCGGGGGCAAGGCAGCAAGGGGTCGCGGGTGATGGACGTATTGCTATACGGGGTTTAGCATGTGCTCTGCAGCGTGACGAGGTGGGCGCACACAAGAGGCATGCAACAAGGGCAGAGTGGTGGGGTTGGGTGGTGGGCTTACGGTCGGCCGGTCGACTATGCTGAAAGCCAGATCTGCGTCGACGATGAACTCAATTATCGTCTGCCGCAAGTAGCTCTGGTCAAGGCGAGCCTGCATGTAGCGTGTCATGCTCTGCTGACCTCCCTGCCCCGACTCAGAAGGAGGGAGCAGTGGCCACCAGCCATGGCCATCCCATGCTAGCTTTCCGTCAGGGACCTCCCCAGCATCCCCGTACCCGCCCTCGGGGAATAGTTCGTCGGGCCCCACCTCCCCTCCCTTCCACCTGCGCCCCCATATCTCCCAGTGGTGCAAGTGTTTGCGCTGCATGTGCGAACGGCCGGTCGATGTGTTGCTGCCAGCAAAGGAGAGGGCTTTCCCGCACTTCCGACAGCGCCTCTTATTCCCCCACTCGGTCACCACGTCGAAGCACTTGGCGACCGGGATGTCATCATCATCGGCCGTCTTCGCTCCTTTCGTGGTTCCAGCTGCTGCCTTGCCTGTGGTATTCGGGGGGGTGGGCTTCCCACTCCTCCCCCCCCCAAAACCCGCCTCTCCTCTACCACCAGGAGCTGCCAAGCCACCACCACCAGCCGCACCTCCCTGCTTTCCACGCTTCTCCTTCGCCCTCCCCGTCTCCTTCTCTTTCCCCACCCCCGTATCCTTCTCCGTCACCTTCTCCTTGGCCGTCCCTGTCCCGGATCCCCTTCCACCACCCTTAGAGCCCATGGTTGAAGGTCGGAGGTTGCCATCATCCGCCTCAACCTCCAACCCATCCAAGGCATCCTCATGCTCTTCTTCTTCATCGCCGGGGTGGAAACCCTTCTCCGAATCGTCACCCGACTCGGACGAGCTCTCCTCACTCTCCTCACCCCCCCCCTGCTCCCCGTCCGCCCCCTCCTCGGCAACAAGCACCATCGCAAGTGCACCAGCGTCCCCCCCCCCCTTGCCACTCCCAGCCCCATCGGAAACCCCTGGCCTCGAGGGGCCAGCGTTGCCAACACCTGACCCACGGCCGCCTCCCCCCCCCTCACACCGGCGTGCGCCGCCTTCAACTTTCTGGCAGCCTCAAGCTCTGCCTCGAGTACAGCCTGCTTCAGCCGCCGCTGCTCGACGCTGGTAGGCACACCAACGTCCTCCCCTGCCTCATCTTCGCCACCCCCACGGTGGCGCTTAGAGCCTCCAGCACGCCCCTTAGGAGGCATTCCGGTCAGTTAGAGGAGAGCGTTGAACAGTGCAATGCCCGCTGGTCTCTTGCGTTTTCCTTTAGGACTCAGATCTAGGATTGTTGCAGGCCAAAACTGAAAAGGATCAACAATCCTTGCCACAGCTCTAAGTCGAGGCTAGGTGTAGTTAGACTAACGGATCTAGTTAATGAAGAAAGCACCCATGGCGTTAAATAAACGGATCTGCATTAGGAGACAGATCTAGGATTGTTGCTGGCCAGATCTGTAAAGGACCAACAACCCTTGCGACAACTCTACGTCTCCTAGATCCTAACGGATCTGGTTTAAGAAGAAAGCACCCAAAGCGCTTTGGAAACGGAGCTGCAGTAAAGTAGTGTGTGTCCTAAAACGAAACGCCAGAGCTTGGCCGACTCTGAAATAATGAACTGGCCAAGTCAAAATTCTGAGTTTTGTGCCAGCGCACCCGAGTTGCGATGGCACAAAATTGACGCGAGCCCAATTTTTGCTCGCGAGCAATTTCTGCTCGCGAGCAAAAACAGTGCAGGCGAGTAATTGTTACTCGCGAGTAAAAATTACTCGCCTGGACCAGGCGAGTAACATTCGAGTACTCGAATGCTCGACGAGTAAACTCGACTCGACTCGGGGCGAGCAATTTCCAGAGGAGGTTGACTCGTTACTCGGGAAAAACGAGTCGAGCAAACGAGTCGAGTTTTTACTCGCCTCGATTGCCCATGCTTACCCCCGGTAGGCCTCCTCTCTCGCCCGGTGTGCACTACTGTGGTGCTGTGCACTACCGTGGTGCTTGTGCTCTACCGTGGTGCTTGTGCACTACCGTGGTGCTTGTGCACTGCCGTGGTGCTGTGCACTACCGTGGTGCTTGTTCACTACCGTGGTGCTTGTGCACTGCCGTGGTGCTTGTGCACTACCGTGGTGCTTGTGCACTGCCGTGGTGCTTGTGCACTACCTTGGTGCTGTGCACTACCTTGGTGCTTGTGTCTCTCGTCTCTCCGTCTCACTTCTCTCTATCCCACGTCTCTCCTTCCCACTTGGCCATCAGAATCGCCCGCAAGGCATGGCAGCAAGCAGCAGAGAAGCTGAATGAAGCACCAGCAGCATCACCAGCAGCTGCAGCGGACGATGCAAGAAGCGAGAAGGCAGATCCGGCCCGAATGAACCGGAGCAGACCACCCCCACCTGCCTGTCTCACTCTCCTTGTCAGTGCACACCCTCACGTCCCTGGTAACAAGGCCTGGGGGGGATATGGGGTCTTGAGGGGATGCAAGATATTCCTCCACTCACTGGGAGCTATGTTCTACAAGTCCCTTCCTCTCCGTATCTTCGAACTAGCTGCAATGCCATTGACTCGCCTACAACCCCCTCCCCCTCTCCCCCTTACCGCTTCATATCCTGCGTCTTCCATCCCATCCCTGCAGGTGCAATCTCTGGTCACTTCAGCACGGTCCTCTCTCACTGTCCTGTGCTGCAACCATTCCCACACCGTCAGTATCCTCCTCCCCCCTCTTGTCTTATCCCTCCCCCTCCCGCAACCCCCATTCATCCCGTCAGGTGCAGTCTCTGGCCACTTCAGCACGGACCTTTCTCACTGCCCTGTGCTGCAACCCCTCCCACACTGTCAGTATCCTAAGTGCTCCTCTAGTATCCTCTTCACCTGTTAAGGTTTGGCTTGCACCTCTCAGCCTTATCCAATCCGTGCCTCTGTGTGGGAGGCCCTGATGTTCATTTGGGTAAACGTTTGGGTAATTTCTTCATGCCCTGATGTTTTCGATGAGCCAGCATTTTTTTGTATCAGCCAGAGCGCGAGCACCTGGTCAGACCGTGAAGCAGTGTTCGCAGACACAAGCCTTGTGTCTTCAAGATCATCCTGAGTAAACTCAGAAGTATGTTTTTTAGGTGCCTCAAGAAGAGACTCTTCACGAGCATCCTGAGTGTGAACTCAGAAGAACTTTGAAGAACCTGCCTCGTGTCTGCCCTTCCCACTCCCTTTCTTGTCTGACTCCTCATCATCCCCAGCAGCAGAGGCAGCAGTTGTCAGAGCAAGCAGCCTCTGCTTTGAAGGAGCTTGTGCACACTCTCTCCACTGTAAGACATTGCCCCGGCCCTCTCGCACTCCCACGTGTGCGGACACACACACACTCTCTCAAGCGGTCCGTTTATTGCTTGGAATCCGGGGTACAGGCTAGGCAGGCAGGAGGCAACCAGTCCAGGTACGTGCATGTACAAGGGCGCGATTCTACTCGAGCTCCCCTAGGTGCTCTGCTATGGCAAAGCAGTCCCCAGGTGCCATGTCGGCGTCAGGGATGCCCACGGGGGTGTGGGGGACAGGGGAGGCTTCATTAACCTTGCCCAGGTAAGCCAAGGCCTGCGCCCGCTGTAGCGTCACTGACCAGCGTTGGCGGAACTGGTGGAGCAGTTTTGCTGCTTGGTAGGAACTGGGTCTGCATTGAAGAGCCTCCTGGCCCCTGTGTCCGCCAGCAGCTTCAAGAAGGTAGGGACTTCAGCGCAAGGGCAGCCATATGTCTCGACCGCCAGTGGGAAGAAACCAACGTAGGGGGCCCGATTTCGGTAGTGGTATATCTCCTCTCTCTCGAATGGTCCTTTGTTGCTGGGGAATCCTGGGTACATGCTAGGCAAGAGGAGCAGGCACAGGTAAATACTACCGGTGGGGAGGTTTAGTACCCGGTCCTACCACCCCCCCTCCCTCCCCTAATGCTCTAGTACGGCGAAGCAGTCCCCGAGGGACATGCCCGCATCGGGTCCCCCCAAGGGGGGCCACTCCAGCGGTGACACTTCGTTCACCTTCCCCAGGTAGGTTAGTGCCTGTCCCCGTTGGAGGGTGACCGACCAGCGCTGGCGAAACTGGTTGAGTAGTTTCGCCGCCTGGTAAGAGCTGGGGTCGGCGTTGAAGAGGCGCCGGGCAGCCGTGTGGGCTAAAAGTTTGAGGAAGACCGGCACTTCCGTGCAAGGGCAGCCGTATGTCTCGACAGCAAGCGGGAAGAAGCCGACGTACTCTGCCCTGTGGCGGTACATGTCGATCTTCTTGTCCGCCTGCTCCCTGGCCATGTAACCGCGTCCCTTGCGGGCGAGGGGGTCCCTGGAGCTGACTGGGTCCGTGACTGTGACGTCGCAGATCCAGACCGCCCCTGAGTCCCGGTCCCGGATGGCTAGGTCGGCTGTCTTGCCGTCGACCGGGTTGTATAGGGCTGTTTCTTTCGAGACAATGAGTTGTGCGTCTTGGCCCATGCGAATGCATTCGTCCCGGAGGGCGTTGTGTGTATCAGTGCGTCCGTGCCCCGTCCCGCAGCGGAATAAGTGGTTGGGGAGCCGTGGGTCCGGGATCTTGGTCTTCTTGGCGCAATTGCACACTTTTGGCGCGGGGAAAGGGAGGCCCAGGCGGAAGGCGAGGGCTATGGCGAAGTGAGGAGGTGCCAGCCTGAGTGATGGGAAGAGGGGGACTGCGAGGAGCCAGTCCCCTGCTCCGTACCCTGTGAGGGAGAGGAGCCGCTGCGTGTGACCGCTGAGGGGGTTTAGCTCCATGTGCCTGGTCGATTCTAGCTGCTCGGCGAACCGGGCAGCGTGGACCTCTAGGGCGAGGCGGTGCTGGAGCGGGGCTTCGGATGGTTCCGAGGGCTCGGCGCGCAGGAGTTCCCGGGCGGTGGCCGGCAGCGCCGCCTCGCACTCAGCCAGCCAGGTGTGAAGGGGGGTGGGGCTGGTGTAGGGTGGTGCGAGGGAGCGGGCCACTGTCCCGAGGGGGGCGGATGGGTCTGGGGCGAGGGAGGCCAGGAGCCGTTGGGCGTGGGTGACGCTGGTGAGGAGGGCATGGGGTCCCTCCACTGTGGGGTCCGTCAAGCCGAGCCCTCCGAAGGAGGGGGGGAGCGAGGCCTGTTGCCAAGTGCGCGACATCTCTCTCTCTCTCTCTCTCTCTCTCTCTCTCTCTCTCTCTCTCTCTCTCTCTCTCTCTCTCTCTCTTTCTCTCTCTCTCTCAAGCGGTCCTTTGCATTCATTAGGAACCTGAGTACAGAGCTAGCCAAGTGGGTCAGGAACGGGCATGCAGCCTAAAACCGCTCTCCCTCCCCCAGCTAAACTGAGTTAGGTTCCCCCGCAGATTCCAGAATGACGAAACAGTCCCCGAGAGACATGCCGTCATCTGGCGCCCCGAGGACAGGTCGTTCCAGCGGGGCGGCTTCGTTGACCTTGCCGAGGTATGAAAGGGCCTGTCCGCGCTGGAGGGTGACCGACCATCGCTGTCGAAACTGGTTGAGCAGCTTGGCGGCCTGGTACGAGGTCGGGTTCGCATTGAAGAGGCGGCGGGCGCCAGTATGGGCCAGGAGCTGTAGGAAAGCGGGCACCTCGGCACAGGGGCACCCGTAGGTCTCCACAGCGAGGGGGAAGAAACCGACGTACGGCGCGCGGTTGCGATAGTGGTCTATCTTCTTGTCCGCTTGCTCCCGCGCCATGTACCCCCTCCCTTTCCGTGCCAGGGGATCGCTGCTGCTGATCGGGTCGGTGACGGTGACGTCGCAGATCCATACTGCGCCCGAGTCACGGTCCCGGATTGCCAGGTCGGCAGTCTGGTCGCCGATGGGGGTATAGGTGGCAGTTTCTTTCTCGACGATGAACTGTGCGTCTCGTGCCATGCGAGTGCACTCGTCCCGGAGAGCGTTGTGTGTATTAGTGCGTCCGTGCCCTGTCCCACAGCGGAGCAGGTGGTTTGGGAGACGCGGGTCGGGGATTTCCACCCGCTTGGCGCAGTTGCAGACCCTCGGGACAGGGAGGGGGAGGCCCAGACGAAAGGCGAGGGCGATCGCGAAGTGCGGGGGTGTAAGCCGGAGGGAAGGGAATAGAGGGATGGCTAGGAGCCAGTCCCCTGCGCCATACCCCGTGAGGGAGAAAAGGCGCTGTGTATGGCCGCTGTTGGGGTTCAACGGCATGCTGCGGCTGGCCTCCACCTGGTCGGCATAGCGGGCTGCCTGGACCTCCAGAGACAGGCGGTGCTGCAAAGGTACCTCGGACGCCTCCGCTCGTTCCGACTGTAGAAGCTCAAGGGCGCGTGGGGGCAGCGTCGCCTCACACTCCGTCAGCCAGGTATGAAGGGTGGTGGGGCTGGAGAACGGAGGCGCCAAGGGCCGGAGTGCCGTTGACAGGGGGCTGGCGGCTGCGGTGGGCAGAGAGGCGAGGAGGGCATGGGCGCGGGTGGTGCTGGTCAAGAAGGAGTGCGGGCCTTCAACCACAGGGTCCGCTAGGCCAAGGCCTCCTAGTGAGGGCGGTAGTGAAGCTTGGGCCCAGGTGCGGAGCTGTTCAGATTCCCCTCGGGGCGTCTGTAGGCCGCTTGCCCGCAGGAGCGTGTAGAAGAGGTCCCGCCCCCACCTGGACCACTCGGCTGTCGGGAGCAGGTTCACCGGTGTCGTGCGCACGAGGTAGGAGACTCGGCGCGAGATACACCGATGGAGCAGTAAGGACACGATTTGCGGGTCCATGATGGCCAGGATAGGTAAGGGGGAGGCCATGGAGGCGAGCTGGGCCCGAAGGAAGGCGGCGGCCCCCTCCGGGGGGCCGATGTGGCTGCCGAGCACCCGGAGGCCGTCCGTGCGGAAGGGGATCGCCGGCGGCAGCAGGTGCGGGGCCGGTCGTGTCGCCGACCAGGCGGCACACTTATCAGGGTTGTGGGAGAGGCCCAGGTCGGCGAGGGCGGCTGTGAAGTGTGTAAAGGCGGAGGTGCACTCGGCTGGGTCACCGAGGAAAGAGATGTCATCGGCGTAGGCGAGGCAGAGGATAGAGGGGTGGGCGTCCGCCGTGGCTCGGAGGGCGGGGTGGATAGCCGCGGCGAAGAGTAATGGACCGAGCGGGTCCCCCTGGCGGACCCCGCGCTCACTGAGGAGGGGAGCGCTATCAAACCCTGCGTCAAGTAGTAGGCGCGATGGATGGCCATAGGAGAATTTGACGAACGGCAGGAGGTGCCGGAGGGATGTGCCTATGAGTCCCGCCACGATCGCCCCGCGATCGACGCTATTGAACGCGTTGGCGAGATCGACCTGGACGATCAGCGACTCCGGGAGCTCTGAGGCAAAGGCACGTGCGGCGTGAATAATGGCCTCGCCCCCTCCCGTGACGGCCACCCCGAATTGGAGGGGGAGGAAGTGGCTGCGGGCAGGTTCGGCTGAGGAGTAAAGGGCCGCTTTGCCTGCCAGGCGGTAGATTGTTTCGCCGATAGCGATGGGTCGCGTGCCTCCTCCGGGTTTAGTTAGGGCAAGGAGGCGGGAGGCGGTGAGAAGATCTGCAACATTTGCTGGTAAGTCACCCTTGAGCATGTGGTTGATGAGGGAGTGGAGCGTGGTCGCGACGGCGGGGTTGGCGAGAGCTGCGTCACGAAGATGCTCGAACGTCGTGCCCGAGGGTCCTGCACCAACGCCGTTTTCGCAGGTACGCAGTAACTTGTCGAAATTTTCGCGCGGGATTTGGACCGCAGCGCCAATGTCGTCCTCAGATGGCCACGCAATTGACTCGGTCAACGCTGGTGGGTGTTTTGATTTCAAAGCGTTGAGGGTCTCGGTGGTTGACTCCTGAACGGGCGACGACTCTAGCGCCAGCAGGGCACGCCGAAGGCTGCCACGTCGCGCGAGACCTTCCGCGCGAGATATTTTGCCGACGGTGTCTGGGTTGTGACGTGGCGGTGGGGGGTTGTGGATCGAACCGACTGCTGCCTGGTAAAGTTCCTGCCATTCGCCGCGCATGAATTGTTTCAGATGATCCTCCACGTGGGTCCAGTTTGGACGTTCCGGGGAGTCAAGCCGAAGGGTTAATCTTGGTGTCAGGAGGAAAAGGCGCCATCCTGCCAGCGAGGACCAATTTTCGCCGAGGTGCAGCAGTGGTGTCAGTAACGCCAGGGCGAAAAGGGGGCGAAGTTTGGGGGGTAGTTTGCGGGATAACGGGGGCTGGCGACTGTCGCAAAGGGGGGACATGTCCCAGCTGGCGACCTCGGCGAATCTGGATGCGTCGAGTGCCAGTTCTTGCGGCGAGTACGTTCGCCGTGGTTGGCTGTTTGCTTCTAGCGCCCCACGGATATTCCGCCCTGGGTTTGGCGGGCCTCCTTGAGATCTGGGACCTCTAATCCCTCGCGGTCGTCCTTCAGATCTCCTTCTCCGCTCCTCATCTTCCACATCCGCCTCTGAGCTGCCAGTGGGGGAGTCGGACTGTCCGTCGGGGGTATAAGTCAGATCTCTCTGTTCGTCATCCTCAGTTCTTCTCCTCCTTTCCTGTTCCCTTAAAGCCCGCACAGCCGCCTGCTGGTAGCCATTGGCTGGTCCACCAGCACTCCGCCGTCCCCTGCGCCCGCGGCCTCGTCCAGCCGTTCCGTGCGCCCGGTGCTCCCGGGCCGTGGGTGATCTCCCCGCCGAGCCCCTCGCAGCCCGGCTCATCGCCCGAGTTCTGGGCGTCGAGTTGCGCGAGTCTTCCAACGCCGCCGCCGCCGCCGCCGCCGCGCCCATTACGGGCGGCGATGGAGCGGGTGCGGAACGCCGTCCCTGGTGTCCGCCCTCGTCGTGAGCGATCGGCTGGTCCTGAGGGCTCCGGGGAGAGTGCCTCCCCACCCCTAGGTCCGGCGAAACCGCCCGCTGTTCACTCGGACATGCGGTGGGAGCGCGGTCTCCTCGCCCTTGCAGCAGACCACCCTGCATCGCCGGACCAGGCAGGGAGCTGTACATCAACCCCACCGCATCGCGAGAGTCGTTCGGAAACCCCTCCGCCCGGCCGCAGCTCCGTCCCACTGGCGTTGGTGCCGCCCCGCCAGGCAGTATCGCGTCCCCCGTCGCCGGTCCGTCCGCCACAGTCGTTGCGGGGGGGGGAGCCCCTCCGCCAGCGCACCAGTCGGCAGGAGTCACCACGACGCCGTCCCCCGGCGGTGGTAGCCCCCTCACAGCTACCTCGCCGCACGGATGGGCGGGACCGCGTCGGGCAACGGCGGGGTTGGCGTGGCGGGAAAGCCCATCGCGGGGCGAGCGGGGGCGGGGCCGCCGCCCTGCAGCAAACCCTTGCTCGGAATACCGCCGTGCTAGAGAGCTTGTGCGCCCACATGCAGGGGGCTCCGGCCATGCGCCACCCTGCTGCTGCCCCCCCTGCGGAAGCGCGCTTCCAACCTCCACCGGCGGCGCCAGCAGATCGTGCGCCATATCCGACAGCGTGCCCCCAACCTCTCTCTGGCCTCGTTCAGAATTTCCCTCCCCGGCCTCCGCCCCCAGCTCAGTCTCATCCTCAGTCCACCTACCAGCTGCCTGATCCGCACGGGCGCCCCCCATCTCTGTCTGAGCCGACCTTGCCCTCCTGGCAACCGCCTCCGCTCCCGTCGACCGGCCCGCAGTGGCTGGAGCCACAGCCGCCGCCCCTTCCGTCAATGTTCTCAGGCCCGGGCGCCTATGGTCTGTTCGTCCCCCCGCGTCAACAGCTCCCCTCGCCGACTGGAGTTGAGGCGGGGGCAGCGTCAGCGGAGAGGGGGGGGGCGGAGTCCTCCGGGGAGGGCTCCCCTCCGGGTGAAGTATCCGGTGGCCAGCGTCGGACTGGGGGGGTGCGGATTCCGCCCAGGGTCCGGGTTGACCGTCTCCGGCGCGTGGAGAGGATGGTGGCGATACCAGCCGCCACACTCCGCCGCTTTGGGCACTTGGGGACGGCGACGGGGGCGGTGGCGAGAATGCTCGCCGTAGCGCACTCTGCGCTGCGTGGCACGGGGAATCCATGGGTGCTTCCCCACATGTCCCTCCAGAACTGCTCAGACTCATCAGATGAACTGATGGTTCTCTTTGGGCGAGTGCTGCCAGCGCCCGCCCCGGGAAGCGGCATGGACCGCGGGGTTGTCGCAGCAATGAAAGCAATTGCGGCGAGCCTCCACTCGGCATCAACCGTAGATCATGTTGGCGCCTGCGTGTTAGTGTTGCAATGCGTGGAGCGGCTTCTGGCAGGATTGTTGGCGACGGCGGGGGAGGAGGACGACGAGTGATCGGCACCCTCCGATGATAGGTGCGTGGAGGCGACCCTCTGTCGAGCGCGAGGGCTCCAGTGAGCTGTATCAGAGACTCCATTGGGAGTTTTTGCTCGTGTGCACTTCGGGTCCTATGCTAGAGTATGCGTGGCTCCATCGCGTATGCCCTGTAATTGCCGCCTCTAATGGAAGGGTGTACTTGCCACCGCCTCACGCGCGGCCGAAGGCCGCCGACGCGAGCCGCCACCAAGGGTTGAAGAAAAGAAAGAACTGGAAACTAAACAGGAAGAATGAGGGAGGGAGAGAGCTTATATAGCTGGAGAGGGACTCATGCTCTCTCTCTCTCTCGCTCTCTCTCTCCTCTCTCTCGCCACCAAGGGTTGAAGAAAAGAAAGAACTGGAAACTAAACAGGAAGAATGAGGGAGGGAGAGAGCTTATATAGCTGGAGAGGGACTCATGCTCTCTCTCTCTCTCTCTCTCTCTCTCTCTCTCTCTCTCTCTCTCTCTCTCTCTCTCTCTCTCTCTCTCTCTCTCTCTCTCTCTCTCTCTCTTTCCCCCTCTCTTGCACACACCCGCTCACATTGTTCCTTCCACACAGGCATCGTTTGCATATGACCTGCTTGTCCCAAACTGCAAGACCCCCCCCCCCCCGCCTTCCTTCCCTTCCTTCCTCCGCCCCAACGTTGCCCAGAAGCCAGCACGTCCACTTGTGGGCTCCAGCCATGGCTTGCGAGTATCCTCTCAACTCCTCCCGACTTGCATGCCCCAAACGACAAATCTCCTACATTACCCCCCCTCCCCCTCCCCCCTCCCTCCCTCCCCCTCCTCCCTCTACCTCCCCCTCCCTCCACCACATTGACCAGGAGCCAGCACGAGCCCTGGTGGACTCCAGCCATGGCTTGCGAGTATCCTGCCTGTCTGCCCTCCAGCAACTCACTGCACACCTTCGGGACCACCTTAGAGATGGCGAGGCTAGTAAGAAGGCAATAATCCACGCCCCTGCGGGGAAGGCTGCTTCCAACAGTGATACAGGGAGGTCAAGGGATAGTAGCAAAGCCTCGATAGCGCTCAGCGAGAAACGTGGTGGGCGTGGTGAACGACAAGGAGAAAGTGGCGTGGAGCTGAAGGGCATGGCTGAGCGGTTGGACTTGCTGATTGGATCGATGACAGGCTAAGATATCATAACTCAGTCACTAACCACTGAGTTAAAAGAGCTTGTTACCGGTACCATCAGCGCCCGGATAGAAGACCTGTGGGTCTTATCATATCAATCTTCACGATTTTTTAAAAAGTCATACATGGGAAAAAAACACCAACTTGGGTGTCTTATAATCGGAATTTGTATATGCTTGTTTATGAAATACATGTTCTGAGGAGCTCTCGATTTTGGGTGACAAAAGCGACAGAAATGAGCAACACTCCTGATTTGAATTCCACATGGGGAAGGGGAAGCACAAACAGATATTTGTCGTCCGATTATTCCAGGTGGCAGCATCTCGAGCACACCTCGAGAAGGGGAGGCACGTGACATTTGTCAACTGTGCCTCCATAGTGTCGAATTTGTGGCTCACTTGAGAAAAATATGAACTTCGGCACTCAACTCTCAGAGTACCGTATTCTCCCGGATATAGTACCCTAGGGAGCTAATAAAAATTCATGAAAATTTTGGGGTGGGTGGAATTAAAGCCCGTGGCTATAATAGAAATCAAGAAGGCTGTTTAATTTCCTCTTGAACTTGGCACATGACTTTATCTTTAGAGTAAACGAAACAGAATAGAAACATTTCGTTTTGCAAAGCGGAATCTGACCGTGGCGGTTTGGCGACAGTTTTTGCACGAAACCATTCGGTGAACAGTGCAATATGCGTCGTGCGACCAAATTCGTGGTTCCGTGAACAGTGAAAATGCGAGAAGAACAGTGTTTTTTTGGCGAACAGAAGCTGATTCTGGAATTGCAGACTTGGAAATCACTTGAATTCCCCAGTCATAAAGCGCCTGTATTTCCTCGTCGCAAGCTGCTCGCCCAAACCCGTCGTAGAAACTCCATGCGATGAACACAGTGTTTTTGCGCAATTCGCATCCAAATGATTGTGTCGCAACGAACAGCAAAACGAGTTATTTCGCCATTCCTCCAATCAACAAGCTCGACCAGAATTTGTTTCGATGCACTTTTCTTGTTCAGGCTTGAACTCAAAGCTGCCTTCCATTCTATACTTAGACGGATTTCAAAGCACCAAATTCAAGTGGTTTCTAACAAAATCAGAGAAGTGTAAGTTGATAGAGTGAGAGTACACACAGATATACCTAAGTCTTGTACCCTCTAAGAGATGACCCTATACAGTCTATACAAACACGACAATTACACATGTTTGACACACCCCTTAGACTGCATAGGGGAATGTCCTAAACAAGCAGCTCAGGGCGGCACTACTAGTCCAACCTCTGAGACAAGGGTCTGAGAGACCAGTCAGAAGGAGTACAGACAAGGCAAGAACAAGAGCAGGGCGGCACTACTAGTCCAGCCACTGGGAGAGGACACAAGTCCAGTCTGAGTATACATATAAAGGACAGTACAAAGTCAAGGTCCTAGCAAGTGAGAGGCTACAGGAACTAGACCAAGCTGTACACAGTGCCGCTGATGATCTTTAGGCGCAAGCGTCTTCGTAAAGATATCAGCCGTGTTGGCACCTGAGGCCAAGTGTACTACGCGAGCCTGACGTCGCTGCTGTAGCTCATGCAGGAGAAAGTACCGTAGTTGAATGTGCTTCGCTCTGCCCTCAAGTCGAGGCTCCTGGCACAGGAGGATCATGGCCCTGTTGTCAGCGAACAGGACCGGGGCAGAGCTAGGCCACTCACCTAAGTCAGTGAGCAAGAAGGTCAGCCAGCGGAGCTCCTGTGCCGCCATGGCACCAGCGTAGATCTCAGCCTCACAGCTGGACTGCGCAACAGACGAGGAGCGAGTAGCTCTCCACGAGACGGCAGCTGAGCCAAGGCTGAAGAAGTAGCCCTAGGAAGACCTGAGTGTCTCGGCGTCGTCTGCCCACGAAGCGTCTGTGTGTCCAGTAAGGACCACTGGCATGCATCCTCCTAGCACTAACCCCATGAACGATGTACTAGCAAGATAACGCAGAACCCTCTTAGCGGCAGACCAGTGCTGCGGTCGGTGTCTGCCTGTGGCCACAAAGCGAGCCAGGATGCTGAGAGGGTATGCGAGATCTGGGCGAGTGCAAGTCATCAGGTACATGAGGCAACCCACCAGCTCTGCGTAGGAGCCACTGGGCTCTACCAACTCCTCAGACACTGGAGCGGAGAGTCTGTGGTCTACATGCAGAGGGGTGGGCTGTGCAGAGGAGAACTGAAGGCTGAACCTCTGAAGGACCTGGCGCACCAAGTGTGACTGAGTCAGGGTGATGGTGCGCGATGCTCTGCCCCTGGAGATCTGCAAGCCATGGTAGCGGCGCAGTTCTCCAAGGTCAGTGCACGTGTGTCTCTTCAGCAGCTCTGCCTTCACGGAGGCCAGTGCGTCCCTGTCTGCTATGGCAAAGACCAGGTCGTCGACGTAAACAAGGATGTAGAACGGAGTCTGGCCAGCACGAACGAAGAGTGAGGGGTCTGCGGAAGACGGAAAGAACTGCAGGTCAGCAAGCGTAGCACGGAGAGTGTCGTGCCACTCACGGGGAGCCTGGCGCAGGCCGTAGATGGGGCGCCGGAGGAGCCACTGGGTCCCAGGAGGGAAGGTGCCAGTAAAGCCCTGAGGGCGACGCAAGTAGACCTGCTCGTGTAGGCTGCCCTGAAGGAAGGCAGTGGAGAAGTCGAGGGAGTGAAGCTCGTAGTCACGCTGAGCAGCTATGTGTAACAGAACCCGAAGAGTAGTCATCTTCGGGGTCGGAGCGAAGGTCTAAAAGAAGTCCACCCCCTCGCGCTGACTGAAGCCTTTAGTCACATAGCGCGCCTTGGAGACAGGCGGCTCTCCAGGAGGGCGCTTCACCTTGAAGAGCCAGCGGCCATCGACTACGTTCACCCCAGGTGGGGGAACTGCGTCGACAAAGGTGCCGGTGGATCTCCAAGATGCCATCTCCTGCTCCATGGCAGCTATCCACTGTGAGGCCCAGGGTCCCGAAGTCGCCTCAGCGTAAGTGCGAGGGGTCGGGATGTCGAAAGCGTCTGGGTCACCCTCAGGGACTAGCAGCATGGAACTGAGATGGGGAGCAGCCTCGGAGAGGAAAGCAAGCTCGAACTGGCGGTCCTCCAGGACGTCACTGCCAAGAGCAGGAGCACCCCCGACAGACGGAGGACAGGCAGGGTCAGAGACCAGAGCTGTGGCGTAGTCAAGGCGGCGGGTAGAGGCGAAGTCAGCGACCGCAGCGACAAGAGCGTCAAGGCACGAGACCGGAACAGACGGGTCGGTAACGAGAGAGGCAAGGACCCGAGGAACAAGGGGACGAGCGGCACGAAGGTAGTCACACAGCGGGGGGGGGTGCAACAACAAGGGAGGACGGAGGAGGCGACGGCAGAAGGGGAGGACGAGAGGCGTGGGAACGAAGCAACATAGGGTGGGAGCGCAAGACAGGAGAGGCAGGACGAGCACGGGAGGGACGGTGAGACCAGACGTGCGACGGAGGAGTCGGGTCAGGAGACAGGGGAGGCGACACAGGAGGGGAACGAGGGGGGAGACAGGCCGGGGACGAGTCCGGTGGAGGGAAAACCGGGCCGTAGACAGGAAGAGGAGGAGACGGCCGGGGAGGAACAGACGCAGGGTCGGGTGACGGAAGGCCGAGCAGGCGAAGGGCTGACACCGGCGGGGACTGCTGCTGCGGTGGCGCAACGGCGACACCTGGACCGCAAGCTGCTCCTCGGCTACCACCGGCACTCTCCACACCAGCACCCCCAGAGGGGCCACCCCCAGGGCGACCGGGACGAGCACCCCCAGAGTCAGCGAACCGGGGCCGCGACGGCGGCGGCGGCGGTAGCGACAACGACGGCTGCAGCGGCGGCAGAGGCGGTGGAGGAGGGGACTGGGGAGGGGACACCGGGGGAGGGGCAGCCAGCGAGGACTGCACAGGAGGGCCACCAGAGTCAGAGGACTCCTCAACCGGGTCCACCGACGGAAGGGGGGTGACGTGGGACACACCAGAGGGGGCAGGACGGGGAGGAGGAGGAGGAGGGGCAGGGACTATCGGGGAAGGAGTGACCAGGAACAGGGGGGGGGTAACTGGGGGACCACGGTGGGGGAAGCGACGGTAGTAGGAAACAGACTCGTCAAAGGTGACGTCGCGAGAGTGAAAGAACAGGTGAGACGGCGGGTGGTAAAAGTGCCAGTCGGACGCGTCAAGGGGAAAACCGATGAAGACGCAGGGAAGGGTGCGGGCAGTGAGCTTGTCCGTGCCGGAGGCACGAACGTGAGCAAGGCAGCCCCAGACGTGGAACGCAGACGCGTCACCAGGAGACCCAGTCCAAAGACGGGTCGGCGAAACTTGCGGCTGCTGAGGGTGCGGCCACAAGTTAAGCTGGTGAGAAGCGTAGCGCACAGCGAACGGCCACAGAAAATGGGGTGCACCGGCATGGATCATGGAGGTGCGAGCCACCTCCATGACCAAACCGATGCGTCGCTCAGCGACCCCATTCTACTGTGGGGAGTCCGGTAGGGTGAACGTCTAGGTGATGCCCTCCGCACGACAAAAGCGCCCAAGGACACCTGAGGCAAACTCGCCACCACGGTCTGAGTGAAGACGCAAGACAGGGAGACCGCGGTGGACACGCGCAGAGACAAGCTAGGGGATGAGAGCGCTAGGCACGCCGGCCTTGCGCTCCAGGGGAAAGACTGTGGTGTAACGAGTGAAGTCGTCGACGAGCACAAGGAAGTAGCGCTCTCGACGCAGCCCAGAAGGGGCGCTACGGGGCCCAGGAGGGGCGGTACGAGGCCCAGGAGGGGCGCTACGAGGCCCAGGGGGGGCACTACGGGGCCCAGGAGGGGCGCGACGGAACCCAGGAGGGGCGCTACGGGGCCCAGGAGGGGCGCGATGGGGCCCAGGAGGGGCGCTACGGGGCCCAGGAGGGGCGCGACGGGGCCTGGGAGGGGCGCGACGAGGCCCAGGGGGGGCACTACGGGGCCCAGGAGGGGCGCGACAGAACCCAGGAGGGGCGCTACATGGCCCAGGAAGGGGCGCGACGGGGCCCAGGAAGGGGCGCGACGGGGCTAGGGGGGTCGCGACGGGGCTAGGGGCACGACGGGGCTGGGAGGGGCGAGCGGAAGCGGTAGGTGGGGGGGGATCCTAACTTACGCGTGATACCATAACAAAATCAGAGAAGTGTAAGTTGATAGAGTGAGAGTACACACAGATATACCTAAG